GAGATGAAGGGAAAACTATGTCTGATGTGGCCAATAAGAAGTAAACCTTTTGAAGAAAAAGCTAATAAAGGGGATATACTTTTTTAGGCAAGGTCGAAGATGTAATACTCTATCTAGTATAGAGTTAGAAAGGTTCCCTAATCCCTAATCCCTGTCTGAAATTATGTATCTGGCATACCTCTACCCTACCGCACACACCCACGCATCTCAGCTCTAGTCTTTAGCCAAAAGTTGGCCCAAACTCACACCCTCTAACTTGGCCCAAACCCATCCGCATCCGCATCCACATCATCATCATCTTTCCTGCCAGAACAGAGCGCAGTCTGTGTTTTTATGCCTTTTTTCTTCTGTGAGCCCCAACTTTTCAACAACTTTTTGCATATTTCAGTTCAGGCCCCAAAAGGATGGCCCCAAAATCCCGCCCACGCCCACATTACTGTATATTTTACCATTTTGGGGCTGAGGGAGGGTTGGAGCCCTTTCCGGGCCCGTGGTAGTTTAGAGGTATTTCTCATCCTCATCATCATGGGCTGCTGTTGCCTCGTTTTTCATTGCTCCTTTTTCCTTTCCAAAATTCTTGGGGGTTGGGAGGTCACGAGGAGGACAACCAACCCACCACCACCTCCCCCAAAAAGTGACTTTTCCTTGAACGTTGAGGCCTTTCAACTTTTTCCCATTTCGGGCTTTACGACGGCGCTTTAAAATCATTTAAAGCCATAGCTTCTCTGGCCATAGCTTTGAAGTGCCAAGTTTTTGTTGGCAAAGGTGGTTTATGGTAATTTAAAATCGATTACTCTCTGAGCTCTTGTCTAATTTGTGCTTTTCTTTTGAACTTTCTGGGTTTCAGAGTTCACCTTTACTGCCCAGATGATGAAAACAACAACCTTTGTGGGTGGGGTCGTTGTTCCTGTTCCTCAAAATTCGTTTTTTTTCGTCTTTTTTTGTGTATTTTCTTCTGGGGTTCTTTGTGCATTTTAAGTTCTGGGTGTGGCAGCTACAAAATGCGTTAATGGTGTGTTTTTTTTTTGGTGAAGTTGGGCAACAATGGATTTGGGTTTCTTAAAGGTTCTTGAGATGGCTTCGAAGCCTGCAGAGTTGCTTCATCTATATAGGATATTTTAAAGGGGGGAGATAGTTTTAGTATAAAAATGATCGTTTTACAGTTTTTTATTAAACTTATTAGGGAAATTTAATTTATGAATGAAAGTAAAGCCACAAAGTCTGGATTTTTATGTTCTATAGACTATAAAAAATATATTCCAGCAGACACTACCCTAGTCACCGTTGAAGGGTTAACTACACACTCGTTACTCAACACTGGTTCACTCACAATCTGTCATTCGGTCAACAATCTGTCATTTGATGACTAGACTACCTCATAGTTATTGTATCTCATGCTTTAAAATGCCTTGGCTTTAAATATAAATCATGAAGTTAACCAAATTCCATATAAATATAATTACTATGCCATTCTTGCACATGTTTACATTGCCTTTTAATGTCAAAAGCTTTAAGTTCTTCCCTCGAACTTGCGGCTTCTGGTGGCAGCTGTTCTCCCTCAGGAGAGGAAACCGCAAGACAACAAAACTACCTATTATATGTATGAAATGCGATTGATGACCTTCCGATCAGATCGAAGAAGGGGAGCTCTCTCGGAGCTCTTAAAATAAAAAGCAGAAGGGGAGCCATCCTGTGGCACGTACCACACAAGTACTCTCGAGCGATCCGGTCTTCCTGGCTGGCAGGTGTTTGACTTGCAGCCGCCTGTGTTTTTTGAATATTTCCGCTGCTTTTTTCTTACGAAATAGCATTTATTAAGTGGGTCACTTACTTATCAGGATGTTTCAAGCTAAAAGCAAACATTCAAACATTCCAATAGTTTTCTATGCTTTTTATGACGTTGTCTTATCAGCAAACATTGGAAATAAATAGATAGTTCTAATCACCACAATTTGGTAAATGAATCAACGTTTTTTTTTTATAAAGAAAATATTGATAGTGGAGTGACCTCAATAGAACCTACAGGTACTATAATATTCCAAAACCCGGAAATTAAAAGCAAAGATTTACGTTTCGATGACTGATTGAAGAAAACAAACAAAAAAGCGCTATAACTTTTAGAATTCATTGGATACTAGAGAGCTCTATGGGCAGAAATAATTAACGAGAAATCAAAGCGTAAACTAATATGACCTTGGGGGCCACAAACACAACGGGGCGGCAATGACAGCCAACACGTGACCCTCGGAAATGCGAGAAAAAAAATGGAAAAACAAATTATTAGAAAATAAAACACAATCATTGATGGTTGGAATGCGAAATCAGGCATATTATGAAACCGAATGCCAGCTCTCAGATTAGATAACCTGAAACAGAGCAGAGAATTCTATAATTCTATAATCGACAAATGCTTTAATTGCCATCACAATTGCTGACCTTGACACACTACCCAGTGTGCCTCACTCGCTGGCCACAACTTGTCGCAATGTATGGATATATTTTTGAGAACTGGCTGTTGTACACTAGAGACTATTTTATAGGCAATTTGTTTTTATTTTAATTATATTAACGGAGGGAGAGTGTATGTAGGAACCAAGGCAGACAGCGTGGCTGAAAAAAAAAGAAAAGGCCATAAAAAAGCACATTCAGAGAAAGATTTTTTATTAAGAAAATTATTAATATTATTATTCTTAAAAAAATGTATTATAGATTAAATATCCAAATTATAGTATTTTCTAGGAAATTCTATTTCTTTTTTTTAGTATTTTTTTGTTATTATTTTAACTTATTTTACAGCTTATTCATAAAAATATTATATTTTTCAAAAAATTATAAAAAAATTGGAATTCTTAGAAATTTTATTAAAGATTTTATAGCAAAATTATAGTATTTTCTAGGGAATTATATTTTATTTTATATATTTTTCCTAACACTTTAATTTATTTCATAGCTTATTCATATTAATTTCTCTCTCTGTAGCTTGCGTGTGTATGAGAGAAGGCAGAGAGTGCTTTTTAAGTAGATTAAAAGCGCGTTCTGGCAATGGATATAGTACTCATACCCATACCCATACCCCTTTCCTCTTCTCCAGCTCACCCATAGACCTCATAATTGTGTCAACTTTTCGGAGAATTGGTATGAGTGTGTGTGTGTGTGTAGTAGACTTGCAAAAAGTGTGTCACGCCTCCACGGACATGCGAAATAATATTAAAAATAAGCAAGTACGATATAAATAGCGTAGGAGTGTCTAATTAGCTTTGAAAGTGTTTATATTTATTTTCTATTTCTAGTTTTTTGAAAAAAAAAAAAAAATGTTTAAAAATTATTATGAAATTATAGCTAGAGATTAAAGACCTTTTAGAAAACCTCCCTTTTAGATGACGGGCTCTATGTCTACCAACTTGAAAGGACTTTCGTTGGAAAACCACCTAGACTCACGCACAAGTGCTTCTATTTTGGCCAGACAGTAGCTTGGGAGAAGGGCTATAGGATGATATAGGATGGTATCCTTTGTCGACGTCTGTCTGGTCTGCCTAACTGGAAATGACTTGGCCTTTTTTGGATTTCAGTGGCGAGCCGCAATTTACGTTTATGGCCATCCACAGTAAACAGTTCAATGGCTGATAAATGGGCTTATATGGTCTAGACCTTGTACCCAGGGGATAACCATGGAAATAATTATTTAAAATTAAAAAATGGAGAATTTTAAACAACTGACTATTAAATTTAATTTTCTGTTTAAATATTTTCCCGGTTTATTGATTAAAAATAAATTCCTGATGGCTATTTTTGTTTGTGTTGCGAAATGGGCGACCTGTGGTCATTGGTTGCCAAGGAGGTGTGGCAAGTGGGTGGGCAGATGCCACATGGAGCTTTTGTCTGCCTGTCTGTTGGGGCTGTCATGGTTTCATGTAGATACAGATACAGCACAAATACAGGCAGAAACAGGACACAGATACAGATGCAGATGCAGAGGAAGCGCACACGTGCCTGCATAAACAACAACCATCCAGAATCAGTATGTATGTATGTGTATCAGTATGTACTATATAATGTGCTGGTGCAGTTTTGTTTGCAGTTTCCAGACGGGTTAGATTATATATAGACAGAGTATGTATATAGACATCTGTATCTGTGGGCTTGGGCTGGCCAAAACCCATTCAATTTAATGTGGCGCTTGTCTAGCCAAAAATGTTAACGCTAGACTGCTCCCAGCCCCCGAAACCGAACCCCAACTGCCTCCAGGGTGGTGCGTTTATTGAAGCTTTAAGCTTCGGACTAAGCCTTCATGCTATTTTCAATGCCCGGACGGCCATAAGCTTTAATTAGAATTTTCACGAGGAATTCTTTAATTCGAAACAGCGTCGTTGGGGGGTTGTTATTGATTTTCCCTGGCTGGCATTTCCACCACCCTCCCTTTTTGCTGACCCCCCATCAACAGACTACAGTCAACGTTGTTTATGCTAATGAAGTCACATTGTCGTCAACTGTGCGTCTACGCCCACCAAAAAAAGTAAAAAAAATAGAAGAAAAAATGGCATCACATTAAATAATAAAAAAAAAAATGGTATATTAAAAAAAAAGCCCTGAAACGTGCCCGGAATGACTAATTAGCATAATAAACAAATATAACGAAAGCCACCACCCTGATCACAAAAATATATATAAAGCGAAAGAGGTGCCGCATATAAATGATGAGATGAGATGCCTTCCTGACAAGATAACGAAATATTTGTGTGGGAATGGGTTTCAGTTTCGAAAATGTTATGTATTTTAAAGTGAACACTCTCTTAAAAATAGTAGCTACTAGTAGTAATAAATATAATCTAAGGTCTAGTTAGATATAATCATTATTGAAGGCATTTAACCTTAAACTCCATATTCCATATACCATATACCATGGCATATTTATTTTTAATTATTTATAATTTGTATATTTTTTATTATGTCACCTTATATACTTATGTTTTTTATCCATTTCTCTTTCTCCTCTCTTACAGACTCAAAAAAAATAATAACTGTACATAAATAATAAAGGCTTGAGTGTTGCAAACTCATAAAACACTTTCCAACACTGGGCCAAGGTGCGTGCAATATGCTTAACGGTATAATAATGATATTCGCGCGTGTCCCGGCATGATCGCAACCGAAAGCGATCTATAATGCCACGAATGGCGGAACAAGAAGATGATGAAAGAAATACTTTAGCGAGAAAGGGTAACATTTGGAAAATGTTGTGGCCGAAGAATATTGAGGAAAATGCATCGTTTTCTTAACATCCAGCAAAATATCAAATTACGCAACTATCATCAGTTACTTTTATATTTTGTGGCTGCTGCTGGACGAGGAGCGGAAGTGAGAAGCGGCAGAGAAGGAAGCAGAAGCAGCAGAAGAGTAGGAGGAGCAGCAGCAGAGATAAGAGAAGTCGGAGAGAATAACGTAAACGCTACGTAACGCTAAACGTAACGTTAAGAATAATAGTTGAAGAAGGATAATAATAAATTATTAATTATTAGCCCAATAATAATAAATAAACCCAACGCTGCCACTGTTCCTAAGACATCCAGACAAACCATAAAAAAAATAATAATAAAAATAAAAATAAAAGTAGCCTTTAGACGTAACCGTAACGTAAAAGCCTCGACATAAAAAAAAAACCCCAAATCCTATGCCAATTTTTGAATCATCGAATCGTTTTTCACGAAAACATCAAATCACTACCATAAAGTCCCATTAAAAAACACAAAAAAACAGACATTGTTTTTTAAGTTTTATCTAAAAAATAAAAGAATAGTATAAGAAGAAAGAAAAGCCGAATCTAGATCTCTAGCTCCTTGCCAAGCACTTCGAAAAAAGAAAAAAAAAAAATCGAAAATAAAATAAGAGGCTGGCCGAGGAAAGCGGATATAAAATATGGCCACACCCCAAGTCAAGGACTTGGTGTTGCGCTCACCCGCTGGCTCCTCCGACGTCATCACCTTCGCCTGGCCCCTCCAGATCGGACACGGACAGGACAAGCACGACAATGGCATCGATATCATCGACACCATCAAGTTCGTGTGCGATGAGCTGCCATCGATGTCATCGGCCTTCGAGGAGACGAACCTCAACCAAATAGACACTGCCTGCTATAAGACTATGACCGGTCTGGTCGATCGTTTCAACAAGGCCGTCGACAGTATTGTTGCATTGGTGAGTGTTTGGGCTTAGATCCTTCAACCAGGATATCCAGGATATTAATTTTTATTGAATTTTTTTTAGGAAAAAGGAACTTCACTGCCCGCCGAGCGCCTAAACAAGTTCGCTCACCCTAGCCTTCTAAGACACATCTTGCAATTAGTCTACAATGCTGCCGTACTCGATCCCGACAAGCTCAACCAGTACGAGCCCTTCTCGCCGGAGGTGTATGGCGAGACCAGCTACGAGCTGGTCCAGCAGATGCTCAAGCACGTCACCGTCAGCAAGGAGGACACGTTCATCGATCTGGGCTCTGGTGTTGGCCAGGTGGTTCTCCAGATGGCCGGCTCCTTTCCCTTGAAGACGTGCATCGGCATCGAGAAGGCTGATACCCCGGCCAGGTATGCCGAGCGCATGGATGTCTTCTTTCGCCAGTACATGGGCTGGTTTGGGAAGCGCTACTGCGAGTACAAGCTGATCAAGGGTGACTTCCTGGTCGATGAGCATCGCGAGAAGATCACCTCCTCCACGCTGGTGTTTGTGAACAACTTTGCCTTTGGCCCGACGGTGGACCACCAGCTGAAGGAGCGCTTTGCGGATCTGCGCGATGGAGCGAGGGTGGTGTCCTCCAAGTCCTTTTGTCCCCTCAACTTTCGGATCACGGACAGGTTGGTTGGGCTTTAAGATACTTCTTGAATCTCTTGAAACTCATATATGTGTGTCCTTGCAGAAACCTCAGTGACATTGGAACCATCATGCACGTGAGCGAGATCCCGCCACTCAAGGGCTCTGTCTCGTGGACCTGCAAGCCCGTCTCGTACTATCTCCATGTGATCGATCGCACCATCCTGGAGCGATACTTTCAACGCCTGAAAACCAAGGGCGGCAACGACCACGAGGGCGTGGGTAAGTTCAAGAGAGGATCAGAGAACACCACTATATTAGGAGACACTAGACACAAACAGTCACTATCGGAATCATTCCAAGAATCTAAAACCCAACTCATGATCCAGTCATCAGGTTTTAATCTAAGATTAGTATTGGTTTAAAGTCTGTAAGGATTAGGGTGTATCCTTAGGGTTAGAGGGTCTTCTGAGAAGATATATCAGGTTTCTAGAATATAGACCTCTAACCTCCTTTCTAATTGGAACCATTTCTCTTCCAGGAACCGTGCGCACCACTCGAGATCGGGCCAAGCGTGAGGCGAACGTGGGCCAGCATCACAACCACCACCATAACCACCACAACAACAGCAGCAACCACGCCACCAGCAATAACAATCATCACCGGGAACGGGAACAGTCGAACGGAGCTGCCAGTGCCGCCCAGGTGCCGCGCCAGAAGTCCCAATCGCCGGCCAATGTCAGCGGTGGAGGCTTAGCCACCGTCGGTGGCCAGCCAGGAACAGGAGTAGGAGCAGGAGCCAGTGCAGCGGCCAACTCCAAGACGCGCCAGCAGCTGCAGCAGCAACAGCAGCAGCAGCGCAGCCTGGACATGGAGAGCAGCACGGAGAGCGACGGCGAGGCGACGAATGGGAATGGAGGCAACACCACCACGACCACGAATGCCACCTCCGCCTCGAACGGCCCGATGACCCGCAAGGTGTGGTCGGACTGGTGCAGCTCCAAGGGCAAGAGCTCGCAATCGGACGACGAGGAGAACAACAACAGCAACAGCAACGGGGGAAGCAACACGGGAACGGGCACTGGCGGGGGCGCTGGAGGAGCAGTTGGTCGCCAGGCACGAGCGGCCACCCAGAAGAAGCGGAAGAAGCTGACACGGAAGGCGGCCATAGCCAGCAAGTCGGCGGCCGCGGCCCAGAGGGAAGCGGAGGCGGCGGCAGCAGCGGTGGCAGCGGCCACGGCCAGTAAGGACTCCAGCTCCAAGGAGGATCAGCCGCGAGCGGCCATCGGTGGCCCCGGCCGGAAGGGACGCATGAAGAAGGGTGCAAGGGGCAGGAAGTCGCTGAAGATCGCCGGCCTGGAGGCGCTGCACAAGCAGACCGTGCTCAGCACCTCCCTGGACGCGATGACGAAGAAGCTGCCCGCCGCTCCTGGAACCGTGGATCAGCAGTTGACCGCCCTGCTCACCGACAGTATGGCGCACACCGAGCTGGATATACCGACGGCGCCGCAGGACACTCCCTACGCCCTGCAGATCCTGCTGGATGTGTTCCGGTCGCAGTACATGGCCATCATCGACCACATGAAGTCGAGTGCCTTTGTGCCGCAGGTGCAGAAGCAGCTGGCCCAGGAGCAGGAGAGGATGGCGCGGCTGAAGAACCGAGCCAGCCAGCTGGACAAGCAGATCAAGGTCCTGATCGACGACAGCGTGGCGCTGCTGAAGGTGCGCATGAACGAGCTGGGCATCAACGTGAACTCCCCCAACGACCTCATCGCCCAGGCCAAGGAGATCGTGGGCCGACACAAGGACCTCCAGCACACGGTGAGCCGCATGCGGAACGAGGTCACCTACTACGAGGGCGAGCAGAAGCACCTGCTCAGCAAGCAGCTGAAGAACCTGCCGGAGTACCAGAAACTCTGCACCGGTGCCAATGGCAAGGTCAAGCTAGAGATGCCCCCAGAGCTGTCGGAGACGACGGCCCAGGAGCTGGTCCTCAAGGAGATAGCCAATACCCTGAGCCAGCGCAAGAAGCTATACGCCCAGGTGTCCAACATCGAACAGGAGACGACGGTGCTGCAGAAATCGGCGGAGGAGCGGAGCACGGCGGCGGTTCTGCTGGCCCAGGGAACCAACATGAGCCTGGCCTCCGGATCGCCCGCCACAGCGTCGGCGGCGTCCTCCACCCCAGCCACCGCCCACGCAGGCGCCACTCCCGTGCCCGTGCCAAACAACAAGCTGAATAGCGCGAAGAACTCGCGTCGCAGTCGCGAGCATCGCGGCCGGTCGCAGGAGTGGCCGGAGGTGCCCGAGGTGGGCAAGATCCAGGAGAGCAATCCCGAGGTGCTGGCCCAGAAGATCGTGGAGACGTGCCGCCAGATCGAGGCGGGCAAGTTCCAAGGAGCCGCCACACCCGCCTACCAGGTGAACGGCAAGAACAAGGCCATCCCCGAGGCTGGAGCGCCACAGGCTCCCATCGCCGTTGCTCCCGTCAGCATTAAGTCCTCGCCGGGCCATCACTACAAGGACAGTACTCTGATGCCGGCGCCCAAGCAGCAGAGCCAGCAACAGGTGGCGCCCTCGCTTCTGCCCAAGTGCGAGTTGGGGGGACTCTCCGCCAGCCGGATCAAGCAGGAGTCGCCGAAGGTGGCCAACTTCGAGGACCGGCTGAAGAGCATCATCACCACGGCCCTGAACGAGGACCAGGAGCACCGCAGCAAGGCAGTGGAGCCATCGCCCTCGCCCTCGCCCCTGCACAGCCCGGCGCCCAAGCGATCCAAGCAGCAGCAGCAGCATGCGGGAAGCATGAATCCCGGCCAGCAGCAGCTGCCCAACAATCTGCACAACATCATCACCGTCTCGACGCAGGGGCTGATGCATCTGAACGCCAACACGACAATATCCCCGATAACACCGCCCCTGCCGGGACCGGGAGCCGGAGCTGCTGCCTCCACTGCCCCGCCCCCACCAGCGAATCTCCCTTACGGAGCGTATGGTGGCAAGGCGACGGTGTCTGGAAAGTATCAGGCGGCCAAGGAGCCGAAGTACTCACCGGTGAGGCAGGCGCCGCCTCCTCCACCACCGCCGCCGTCTCACATGGCCGCCTTGTACGCCGCCGGGCAGCAGACCGGTACGGCGGACCTGAGTTACCAGCGACGCCGCAGCTCCGTGAGCGCCAGCAGCTACGAGCACTTCATGGCCCAGCAGCAGCAACAGCAGCAGCAGCATGCCCTAATGCTGGCAGCCGCCGCCCACGCCGCCCAGCGCCAGCACATGCGAGCGGAGGAGCAGCAGCAAAGCCAGGCCCAGCAGCATCACCAGCACCAGCAGCACCGCCTCCAACAGCAGCAGCACCTCCAGCACCACCACCATCCGAACGAATTCAAGGCACCGCCTGCCGAGAATCTTCTCCAGCGATCCGGCAGCCGGGAACAGCTGATAGTGGAGCCGCAGCAGCAGCCGCTGGAGCTGCTGCCCCGGGCAAGTTCCGCCAACTCGGACTACGGCGGCTATCGCATCCGTCCGCCCAGCAGGCCCAGCTCCAACTCTTCCCAGCCGGACTACACGCAGGTGTCGCCGGCCAAAATGGCTCTGCGCCGGCACCTGTCCCAGGAGAAGCTCAGCCAGCATGCCACGCCCCAGGCCACACCGCCGCTCCCCGGAGCGGGAGCTCCAACATCCGGCAAGACCATCGGAGATCTGGTCAACGGGGAGATCGAGCGCACGCTGGAGATCTCGCACCAGAGCATCATCAACGCGGCCGTGAACATGAGCACGGGGGGTGCCCACTTCATGGAGCGGGCCTTCCTCAACGAGCGCTCCAATGAGCGGATGCTCATCAACCTGAATGCCCAGAGGCCGGAGCGCGTCCATGTCCGCCCGCTGTCCGAGGAGTCGCAGGAACCGCATCCCACCAGCTACGCCCAGGAGAGGAGCTCGGCAGGCTCGGCCGCTGCCAATAGTAATCTGGCCACTCTGGCCCACGTAGCCTATGTCCAGAAGGCCCAGGGAGCCGCACGGGCAGGAGCCACTGCGCCGCCTGCAGCCCAACACCACACGGCAACGGCTCGAACTGGCCGGGATTACCAGCCGGTGGCTCTGCCTCGGGCGGAGCTGAAGGGCAGCATCGAGGCCTACTTCCACGAGGAGCAGCAGCAGCAACAGCAGCAGAAGCAGTCCAAGGGGCCCGGTTCGGGATCGTCGGGAGCAGCTGCTATGCGGGGATCACGTCTGAATGGAGCCAATCCCCCATTGGAGGGTAGGTCCTCTCTGGATACTCATGTTCCTTTCATATTATAATCCCCTATCCACTTTAAGGTTTGGCTGCCTCTCTACAAGACCACGTGCGTGCCCGGAAGTACAAGGAGGAGACTGAGGAGCGTCAACGTCGCGCAGCAGCTGCTGCCTCCTCCTCCTCGTCGTCGTCGTCGTCGGGAGTATCGAACTCTGCGTTGGAGCTCTCCAACCACTATGGCCACCAAGCTCCCCCGGCCCACAACTACCATCATCACCACCATGGCGCCAATCTCAACGGAACACCGCACAAAGTGGAGCGTAAGCCATTCCGCGGCCATGACTTGTTTGGGTGCAAATAGATCCTTGTATGGGTTTTAGGTCCTTTGGAGGGGGGATTTGTCCAAAGACTACCTTTTTATTTTTCAAAATAAATAAACCTCATATGTGAGGATGACTAAAGCAAGCACTCCAAGCAAATCAGTTGGCCGCCAGTGTCCATATCCTTAAGACCCTTACTGACCCTCGGTTATTCCCTTACAGTTGGAGTGAAGAGGAGTTCACCGCTGGCGCCTCACCAACAGCCCCCGCGGCCCTCGAAGCTGGCCCACTACGATGCGCCGCCGACCTCCGGCCAGGCCCACCACGCCCACATTTACGCCAATGGACAGGTGCTGCAACCGCCGCCGGCCCATGATGCCACCACGCCCTCGCCCACACCCTCGTCCTCGTCGTCGTCGTGCGGACGGCGCAGTGGCAGCAACAGTGGCAAGCTGCTGGTGGAGCCGCCGCTCCTCATGAGTCCCGAGATCAACTCGCTGATGGGCGACGAGAGGCCGTTGCAGTTGTCGTCGCACCCAACGCAGTCCCAGATGCTGCACCAGCAGCATCAGCCGGCGCACCTGCAACAGCTGCGAGTGCCACATCTCGGACATGGTCATGGCAACAGTCACAGCACTACACCCACCTTGGGGGAACGGCGCAATGCCAATGCCGCCGACGACGGTAAGCTATACGTGGATCAAGCCACATACTCGGCCAGGGCACCATCACCACCACCCACCACACACGCACCACAAGCACCACCAGCACATTTAGTCTATTTGCAAGAACCGCTTAATCTTCACCAGCACTCGCCCAACTTTCAAACACGACGTGCCGCCCAAACGGTGGCAGAAGATCTAACCATGAAGCGGGCTGGATCAGAGCCAGAGTGGCAGTCTGAGAGGAACTCATCCTCCTCCAAGTCCAGCTCCAGTTCTGACTCTGATCCCAGTTCCGACTCTGACTAAGCTTTGACTCCGCACACACACGCTATTTGCCTTTATGATGTACATATATATTTTTTATGTAATTCGAGAATTATATTCATTTCGAAAGCTATGATTGTTTCACGAACTTATTTTAAATGTTGTGTGTTGTCCTGTCCTCCACCCTCGTAGATGTAGATCCTAACTATCCCTACTCTTGATTTTAGTAGTTTTTGCATTTTAATTTATTATTTTCTTTATGATTTTGTAATGCTTTTCATAACCATTGAAATCTGATGAACTTTTAAAGGTAAAAAACACTAACAGAGCAGGTCTTATAAGAAAATATTGAGAGCCAGAGAAATGCATCTGATCGGAAGAAAGATCGGTCTTTATTGTAAAATATATATAATTGAAAAACGACCATGGAATCAAAGCCAACCACATACATGCTGAGAGTAATTTAGATTTTTTTTTAATATAAGCGTCATGCCAAATCAATCATCTATATCTACTGCATATATAATATGATACCCAGAGCCACACCCAACCTCCCACCAACAAACACACACACTTCAAGCTATAATGCTCTTTTGTAAAAAAATTCATACATAAACACACACAAACACACATATACACTGAAAGAAACACAAACACACTCCACAAATAAACAAACATTTATTTCAAAATTAACCCAAAAAAATCAAACAACTTTCTGGAATGTTATTATAATGCATATTAATTAATTTTCAATTTTACTAAAAAAACAAAAAAAACAAATTCAAAAAACAAAAAACAATGCTAAGAACGATAAAAAATACAAAAAAAAAAAAACCCATAAACCAAACAAATACCAAAACCAAAAAAGACCCATCTTATCCAGCCTTCTTTATGATCCCTTCTATTATGCTCTACTCCATACAGTTAACGATTTGGCAACGCAACGTACTATAACTAATTACGATCCCAGACGTCGCCTTCGCACGACTCTGTCTGGTGGCTCTCCAGCGAAGCTATCGGCTGCCCATGCCCATGCCCATGCCAGCTCCCATAGTAGTCAGACTCTGAATGGATACGTTCTGGCAGATAGTAGTAGTAGTTGCCCCACAATACCAAATACCCAATAACCATATCAGAGACAGTCTGAACGATTGAACCAAAAACCGAACTGAATTGAATTGAATTGAATTGGTTGAATGATTGATTGATTGACTTGCATACTTCAAAATTGATAAAATGTTTGTTGTTGGGCCCAAAAAACGAAAACAATCTTCTAATAAAAATAACCATTAATATAAAAACCCGATGAAAAAAAAAAACAATGATTTCAAATCAGAAAACCTACAAAAAGACAACTTTTAATTTTTGCGTTTAATAATTTACCTACTAAAAGTACAGAATTCATATGCCAAAAAAAAAAATCAGAAAAAAAAATATATTTTATGAAAAATTATATGAAATTTTTAACGAGCATGAGGTAAGTTCTGTTGCGCCTAATTGGTTTCTTTCTATTACTTATGATTTACTTATGATTTGTTTTTATTTTTATTATGATTTTGATTTTAATTTTAATTTAATTTCATTATGTAATTCACTATTGTTTTAACATCATCCACACACACAAGAAAACACCCATCCATACCAACACAAATACCACACTATCCTGCACGCCAGACGCAACGCCAACCAAACAGATCCTGAGAGGCTTTAGGATATATATGAGATATTAATGACCGACTTCCTCAGTATAATATTAGTCACCCACTTACTACTCACCCCAAAAAAACAAATCGAGGCAACTTTGCACTATTTGACCCTTTGACCTTTCGCTGGGATTACATTAATGTCGTTCTTTGTGCTTCTCCATAGATGATGTGATCGCCGCCGATGATGAATCCCACTGGCAGCATCGGGTCAGCTCTGGATTTGATCGGCTGGTGGCTTTCGCCAGCACCGAGCTGGACAAGACGCGGCGCAGCATCGATGGCGACACAGTGCCGGCCTCCATCAGCTGCAACACGTCGCCGGACTCGGGCATCACGCACAGCAGCAGCAACTCGGATGCGGTGCGCACCTTCTTGTCCACCTCTTCGAGCTCCTCGCAGCTGGAGCTGCCGATCGGCAACAGCAACAGCCTGTACAACCATCATGGCCAGCACAGCAGCGGCAGCAACAGCAACCATCTGCCGCAACAGCAGCAGCAGCAACAGTTGCAGGCGCATCAGCAGCAGCAGCAACACCATCACATCCCCGATCACCTGAGCGACAGCAGCATCAAGTCGTCGGCCTCCTCGTCCCTGCATGCGGGCAGCTCCTTGAAGACAGTGTCGCCAGTGGAGGCCATCGAATCGCCGCCTCTGTCGGACGTGGGACTGCCCAGGACGCCGAGTCCCAGTGCCGCCAGCGTGGCCACCCCGCCCCTGGCTAGCGGACCGCCTCTGGCCGGGGATCTAGGTGGCATTCCACTCAAGTACCAGCGCAAATCGAAGAGCAGCTCCGAGAAGCACTACAAGAAAAAGTTCTGCGAGCGGAACTGGGAGTACGACTGCGATGAGCTGCTGGCCTACTCCAACTCCAGTGCTCCGCCAACGGCCGCTGATGCAGCTGGCAACGGGCCACCCAACCTGGATAATGCCACAAGTGCTGGAGGAGGAGGAGGAGGAGCTGCTGCCAAGTCCGGCAAGTCGCCAAAGGAGAAATCATCGCCGCACCACAGCGGCTACCATCAGGCGCAGCAGCACCACCACAAGTCCTCCAAGTTCCGGCCGAAGGGCAAGGACTGGGACTGGTCGCTGGACAGTCGCAGCCAGACGGGGGAGCTGCTGCCGCCCATCACCACCAACAACTCCACCACCACAACGAGTAATTAATTTAGTAAACTAATTTAGTTCAATTTGCTGAAAAAGATAGACGATAGGAATGAGGAATGAGAGAAGAAAATCCAGAAGAGTATGCAACGCTTGCTACTTTTAGCCACATTATTTGTACATTTTTTAATCGAAAGGATCACGCGAATGGTGGATCCCTTAAATTATATTGTATTGACTAAACATTTTGTAATTTAAATTAAATGAATTGTATGTGCATAGCTAACTTATTGTAAAGCCCAGCGCTATCCGTTTGCCTTGTTTTCTACACAGAACTTTCTTTTAAAAAACTACTACCTGTCCTGTACTGTCCCTCTCCACACTAGTTTCACTGCGAGATCTAATTAGGCTAGCCACGTTTTTCGTAATTAGGCTGTAAGGTTGAACACAACAATGCTGATGAACAATGTTACTGACTCTTCTGTACCAACTACTACCAACTATTATGATTATGTATTTAATTTTCATTATTGTTTAATTACGTTTGCCCATAAGTTGAATGTTTTTGTCTTTATTATTATTATTATTTTGAAATAAAATTGTCAACTAATTAAAGTTATGGTTTTTGATTTTCATTTAAAACGAAAAGTACCGCTGTTGAATTGGGACCAACCCTCCAAATCCAAATCTGAATCTGAATCCGAACCCGTTCCTGTTTTTTGAAAAAAATATGATGAGGATGATGGTAATTAGTGGCATACTTTAGTGGCATCAATACCCAACACGATATAGAATAACCGAATATAGCACAAAAGAATCAAGTGGTTTATTTTCATTTAATTTTTAATATTTAATATTTTAACTTGCGCTTGCATTTAGTACAGAATATGCTCAAATAGGGACGATATGCATATACTTTAACAGATTAATCGCAAAAACAATAAGTCTAAACTGAAGTAGAGGAAATTAGATAATGTATACAAGCAACATGCAACATGCAACATGCAACATGCAATACGCAACAGCAACAGCAGCAACAGAAGCAGAACAACAAGTAACCTTATAAATTAATGAATTTTCCACCTCAGCGAAATAAACAACAACAATTTTATATTATATATTATATTATAGCAGGCATATACAACATATATACATAAATATATATATATACATATATATATAGATACTTATATATTATATACGAAGCCGGCAGCGGGGGCGTCAAGGGAATATCAGGAATCCAATTGAAGCGTAAAGTAACAAATTAATGATTTACAAGCATTTAATAAATAAAATAATGAGTAAAGCATAAACCAAGAAAATATTTAGCGAAACATAATACAATATAAAACATATATAATTAACAATATTTCCAAATGTGCTATTAGCGTAGTGTAAAGTAAAAACTATAAAAGATATAAATACGAATACAGCAAGGGCGCATCAATGATTTTTATACGTAAATATTGTAATATATATATTATATATAGGGTCTGCGCTAAATTGGACGCGAGTTGTAGCAAATGGAATATTAATTTGGCGCTATTAAAATAAAACTCATGTAAAATGCATATAAAAACACAACAACACGTATAAACAAATAGTTAAATTTACATGTAAAATTAATAAAACAATAAACGAAAATGAACGTAAGCGTAAACATTCGGGGAAATAATAAAACACACACTCACGCATATTAAAAGTAAAGGTATTATTATGTATATTTAACAAATATTTATTGCATATTATTATTTTAAAACTAAACGTTTAATAAAAAATATTAAAATATAATTAACAGGAATATTTAAGATGTTTAATTAAAGGGGTTGGGAGTTTTCTTAAAATCCATGGGTATTTAAGGTCCATTCTTCTTTGATTTATCTGTAAAATAATAGAGTATAATGTACACCCCCCTTAACCAATTTAAAAAAATCTTATTTTCGTTTCTGTTATCTGTATTTTATGTCATTCAAATATCTTATAAAAAAGTACAGTTTTGGTTCGTTTATCTTTAATGCATTGTTTCTGTATAATTGCGTTTATCTCATCTAAAGTGTTCCCGGTGACAATATGTTAAATTTTTTTTCATTTATTTTTTACCATACTTAGGGCTATTGCTATTTTAGATCGTACTGATAGTATATGGTTTATTGTTGTTGTTCAAAGCGGTCTGCGGGGATTAATTCGTTGGCTTAATAATAAATACTCGATCGAGTCGTTGTTTATATTTTAGAATTTAGCTGACAATGTTTACGTTAGTTATAGGCTATGGGTGCAATTCGGTTTATTTTCTTGATTTATATATTTGACTTGATGACTATATAAGAGTTTCTGGCTGAATCTGAGGTTCTAACAAATTCATTTGTTTCCCTAGCTTGCATTTTGTAAATAAGTGTATATTTAATTATACTCGTATAACATTCTATTAATCTATTTATGTATACGTAGCTATAATTTTCTTTGTTTTTTGTCGGTTTTTCATTTTTTTTAATGCATTTTGTGGTATATAATTGTTTTACAATAAAGCCTGAGGCACATTTATGATTTATTATTTATTTCAAATTGTTTTCATTTTTTTAAAAAACCTCCTTTTCTGAAGGAGTTGCTGGATTAAGACTTTTGTTTTAGAACGAAAATGGGTTCTTTCTCTGGGTTTTGTGTTTTACTTTGTTTTACAAACAAACTAACATTCATTTGCAATGTGAATTATTATGTAGAAAGATTTAAAGCTAAACTTTGTTCCAAGCCATAAAACAGATATAGACTCCATGATCTGGGGAACACGAAACACGACATTAAAACTAGAATTTCACGCCACCGAGGGCTTGAACTACAGACGTCGTTAAAATCCATTGATAGCATAACTAAAGATCCATAGCGGTGTAAACAAAACTAATAAACATTTATAACAAACAAACACTTATGACTAATTGAAGAATTAAAGATAGACAGTTAAAGACAGGCAGATAGGTGGATAGACAAAAGATTAACAAATTGAAGATTTGAACAGTGGGTTGCGTGGGGGTGATCTGGGTTAAAGGTTAGTAAAGCCAGAAGGATGATGATCAATTGACAAAGCTCGCTATTCTCGATACCTTACAAGAACCTACAAAAACACACATTTTTAAATTTGACCATTTTTGAACTTAGACTGGTTCGCTGCGACCCCGTATAAAATCCGCATTGGAAATCCGTCTAGAAATAGATACTTATATATATATATAAAGTAGATACTTATATACAAGCGGGGGTCGCGCGAATACAAACTCGTCGGGCGCCGAGGTTGGGTTCTATAGTTATATAGATATACATTCGTTTACAGTTACAGTTACGTTTTTGTAAATTTGTTTTCGTTTCTAAAACCGCTGCACACGTTTCCATCATTCAGACTTTAAGTTCGTTTCATTTGTAAGGTTTTCATCAACTACGCAACTACATATATCATATATAGCATATAGCTATGTAGCATACTATCCTCACCATAGTGTTAATGATAATGTTTGGTAATAATAACAATATGCCAAGTGAATACACACAACAAGGAGGGCCTGAGGGTAATGTTCGATTATATAGCAGAAGTATGGGCCTTGGCCCATATACCTCTAATGCTGTTTGGACACATATACTATTTGAAACCAATTAGAGGTCACCACTAGGCCGTTGGTTAGTTAGATTAGGAAGAGGGAAGAAAGGATTATTAGTTAGGTATTATTAGTGGCACGAAGAGAAAGCTCATTTGTTGGGGGAGAGTCTTCTGTAGAGTCCTGTTCCGGTTACTGATTTGTTCTTAAAAATATTAGGAACAGGACTATACAGTGTTAAGGACTAACTAGGATCAAACACAACACAAATTATATATATACTTAAGCAACAGGATAAGAAGGACAGAGTGGCTCTACAGCTGATCCACGTGCTGGAGCAAGCAGGCCACCACAGTGGTGTCCTCCTTGGCAGCCTCTTCGACCGTCAGCTGCTCCGCCTCTGCATCCTTTTCCTCTTGTCGCTTGGAATTCTCAATCTCCTCCTGAGCTTTCTCTTCATGCAAATTCTAAAAGTCGTCGAGTATGTCTGTGACGCCAATCATGGCTTCCACAACATCAGTGCTGCTGGGAGCACTGTCGTCAATGAGGGGATCTGTCGAAGCGCCTCCTATCCCAAAAGCGGACGATGGCAGGCTATCGATCGTGTTGCCGTTGATCAGAAAATCGCGCGACATCTCCACAGGGCTGTACCGGAAGCAGGGCGTTGTGATGGGCGTGGTTGGCATGGACTTGGAGATGTCCAGTGGATTCCTGGAGCCATACGAATGTGCATTATAGAATCCTGAATTGCCAGATGTGCCGCCCCAGGTAAAAGATGGCGAGACAGCAAATCCGTTTCCTGCTCCGCAACTGCCTCCGTTTCCGACTGCCGATCCGCCGGAAGCTCCTGCTCCTCCTCCATTTAGCGCGGAAAGGCAGTTTTGTGGTAGCGGTGTGGAGGGCACCGATCGCGAAACGATTCCCGCTGACCCGCCACTGCTATAGCCAGAAGACGATCCTGCCGAGGAGCTGCACGTTGTCGTCGTCTGCTGCGTCACGCTGGTGAACTTGCTGCTGAAGCTGGGCGAGATCAAGGCGCTCATGTCCACCCCCTCGTACAGCAGGCCTGTGTCCTTCAGAGACGCAGACTGCTGGCTGTTGCTGTTCTCCGAGTAGAAGGCCAAGTTGGGAGACTGGTTGCTGCTCCTTCGCTGGAGTTGGGACAGAGGCACCGACTGGGATCGCTGCAGTTCCGCCGTATCCAGATCTGCGGCTAAAGCCAGGCTCGTTTCCAGGTCCATGGAGTTCTGGTTCACCAGCGGGTCCGCACTGTGACTGCTGTCCGCAAAAGTGGAGTTGTTCCCGCCGCCAAACTGCCAGCTGCCGCCAATGCACTGCTGGAGCAGTGAAGGGCTTGGCGGCGCGGACGCCGATGTAATGTTGGGATAACATACGTAGCTGCGACCTTTGCGATGAGCTCCGATCATGGGATCCCGGTTGTCGCAATCCAGTGACTGTTGCTTGCTAAGCATACTGCTCCGTTGCTTCATTCTGGTGAGGCCCGGACTGGCGAAACAGTTCTGGTTGGGATTCGCTGATGTTGCGGCTGCGCTGGCGGCACTGGATCCGTTGATATTGGGCGAGATGGGCAGGAATATGCAGTTTTTGTTGTTGCCATTGCTGGAGGCGTTGCTCAGACTGATCTTACGCTTGTTGTTGCTTAAAGTGGGCAGCAATTTGGAGCGCTGATGGAGTGGCTGCTTCTCATGCTGCTGCTGCTGCTGCTGTTGGTGTTTTTGCTGCTGCTGATGCTTTTTCGACATTAGGGCGAGAGACGCTGAGGCAGAACCCACTGCCGCCGCCTGATTGGGCAGCATCGAAGGCACCGGAACCGGTGCCAGCATAGCTGCTGGTCCAGCGCCTGGAGCTCCGCGGCCAGGAGCCGGCATCGCCACTTGCTCCAGGGCAGAGCCAGCGCTTGGCGGCTCCTGTGGATTCCTATTCGGTTCTACAGCATCCAAGGAATTTAGTTGTTTTTCCTCAGCGTCTCCCATCTGAAAATATTGGAGCAGCTCGGTGTCGGGCTCCTCGGAGTTTTCCTCATCCTCCCCGGGCAGGAAGTAGTCATCCAGCTCGTGCTTGTCCATATTACAAATGCTGATAACCCGCTCGCGTGGCAGACCCAAGTTTTCCGGCAGTCCAGAGTCTTCGGCAGCAGCCAGGGCGGCACTTTCCGCCGCCATTACCCGTCTAGCTCGCATTATCATCAGCTGGTTGCGTGAAGCCACCTTTGGAATCACATCCACACTACTGGAAGGGCTAACCGAGCTGTTCATCATCTTTGCGGGCGGACCCATAAAAAGCGCGACTCCAGACCCAGGAACGGGTGACGTGCCCGCTTGTGGCGGTGGGGGAGTAGCGGATGTGGTAGTTATCATCGGCGGCACTAGTAGGCCACCACTTCCTCCTGTGGTCCCACTACTCGGAGAGTTGGCCCAAAATCCCTTTGTTTGCTGCGCCTTAAGCACCTTCTTGCAGAATATGTTGGTGGTGTAGTCCTCCACCTCATCCTTTATCACTAGGCCCACAGTAGGCGACGTTTCCTGCTGGGTGAGTACAACCGTGGGGTTTCCCAACTCCATGAGCTTTGGTGTAAGGTTGCGGACAGCGCTATTTGCCCTTTGATCGGTAGCCAGATTCATTGGCGTCACCTGTGCCAGGTATCCCACTGGGGGTGCCTGCTGCTGTTGCTGCTGCGGTGGTTGATGAATGGGGGAGTCTATAATCTCCTGCTTAATCTTTAGAAGCTGCTCTTCGCAGGCCTCTTGACTGCTGCCCGCATCCTGGCTATTACCCAATTGGTTACAGCTGGATTCCGAGGAGGTTGACCCCTTGCGCTTCTTTTTTCGACGCTTCTTCAAAGGTCCCATGTCCTGGAAAGGATAAATAATTAAAGATTTGAATAGTTCTTTATTCCCAAACTTACGGCCAGCACTCGTTTCTCCTTGGGCTCCCGAGGTGTGTACTTCTTTGTGGCCACTGTGGCGTTGTTGCTCCGGATACGGGCACTCAGCTCAGCTACGCTCTCCAGCTTGGTGTTGAGCAACTTTTCGGCCCAACCGCGGATTACATCCCAGCTCTCCCGATCGCCTTCGGCTGGCGGGATCCCACTTAAAGTGGCTGAGCTTGTCAGCTGGCTGGGATCGGTCGCGGGAACATCGCCCGGGTTCTGTTCGCTTTTGCACAGCTGCGGCAATTGTGGTGGTGTCAGTTTTGTGGTTTTGCGCATAGCAGCATAGCAATAACGAGAGTTTCCTCGCGTTCCCAATCTTCGAGGACGCACGCCCGGAAAGACCTGCTTCATCACCTTTCCAAAGTCCGCTGTGGATAAGGGTTTGATACTAAGGCGTTCGCAGTAAGCTCTGAAAGAATGGTGACTATTATTAGCAAGGATTATCATTAAAAAAAAGCTTCAAACTCACATATAATCGTTGTATACATCCTGTTTGGGTATGGACACTTGGGCATCGTGCTCCAGATGGGAGCGCACCCAATTTATTGTGTGGTTAATCTCAGAGCGTGTTCCCAGAGGATTTTGTGGCTGTCTCAGCGGATCTGTGTCGGCACACTCGCCCGGCAGCCTCAGATAGAGGAATAGCTTCTCAATGGGCTTCAAGCCGGAGACGCGTTCCAGAATCTGGGATATCTGCAACTTGGCGTTGTCGCTGGAAAGGATATATTAATAAAGAAATTAAGAAAATAGATAAGTGGATGCACTTACTCCAAACTGGACTCGATCACTTGCTGTACTCTACGCATCTTCTCCTCGCTGGGCACTTGAGGTCCTCCTCCAGTTGAATTACTGTGGGTCAAGGCATTCATCACGTTCTCGGCAATGGTGGAATTAATCACTCCACTGGTTGCCGACACGCCCTCACTGGGATGTCTTTGGCCGGGTATTGTTGGGGTAGCTGGTGTCCCAGGGGTTGTAGCAGCCACTGTTCCTGCCACTGGCCCTGATCCAGCTGGAGCTCCACTAATGGCATGCATGATCTTACCCAGACCCAGCTGGGCTGTATTATAGGTGAAGGAGGCATTGGCGAAGGCTATGCCAGCAGCAGCATTCCCAGCTGTGGAGGCAAAGGGGTTCGGTGTCAGCACGGAAGTGGCTCCAACAGCTCCAGCAACGACATTAGGAAAAGGTGGCGGTACAAAGCCGCTGGGCGCAGGTACAGGTACGTGGGTGTGACTCGTGGGCGAGATCTGGGAGGAGGGAGGAATACTTCCGCCTCCTGCAATGGTGCTACCCACGGGCGTAATTGTCAAAGGCGACGCCTTGGCATGGATGACTGGAGCTTGGAAGCGGGCAGCCGAATAGGAAATATCCGCAGGTTGTAGGCCACAGTTGACATATGGATTCCCACTGGATTTCTGCAGAGGAACAGGAACGGGAACGGGTAGAGGGACTGGGGTGGAGGCTTGTGCTGCTGGCGCCGCTGATTTTGTCCACTGCGCACCCAGCTGGCCGTGCTTTTCGGACATCTTAGGTGCTAGTGCTGGTGCTAGCGGCGCCTCCTTCTACGCTTATGCTGTTGCTGTTTTTTTCTTGCAGCTGGTTCCCCTCCTTCTGCTCTTGTTTTGGTTTCTGGTAAAGATTGCGCCTCCCGCTGGGCTGGAAGGTTACGCAGCTGGCGCGTATGTGTGAGTCTGTCTGTGTAAAGTGTGCGTTTTAAGAGACGGAGATTGCGGAGTCGATAGCTGGCGCGACGAACATTTCGACAACTGCGACTGCGACTGCGACGGCGACGGAAGAAGATACGGGTTCCAGATAATGGAGCATTTTCCAAGGGGCCAATTCCCCTCCTCGACGCGAGGCTGAAATCTCAGCGGGGCGCGGAAAGTGCCAGGCGTGCTCTAGTGCCAACTCGGGTGCAATTTTCCAATCAGACAGGCCACGAAACAAATGAAAAAATCCATCTTTCACCAGAGATAAGAAATGTCAATCGTTCTGCGTCTCGAAAAATATGCGACGTTGCCAGATCGTCGACCAACGGAATGTACTATTTTTCCCTCAGCTTGCGGATGTAAACAAGGGAATATTTAAAGAATTTTTCAGGTTTTCTTATTTATATCGGTACTATATACAATTCTTTAAATATACCTCATACAAATACTATTCATTAATGTCAATTAAAGCAGTAAAAACAGTAAATTAAGAATTTAGCAGATATCGGTACCGATGTTTGTCAGGGATGGCACACCGGAACTAGTGACAAGTGGAAATACTACATTTTTTAACGGCGTCAGCGATGAAATTAATATTGATTTATAAATCAGGAGTCATTACTATTATAGTAATATCATTTCTATTACTATTGCATTGGTCGGAAGGGCCCTATTTCAGGGGCTTAGGAAGTTTCTCTGTTGAGAAACTCCATTCTCAGCCTACTTTCTGTTACTCGTTACTAATATTTTTGCATTAAAAGTTTTCATTTATTAAAAACATTAAAAATTTGCATTAATTTAAAACTATATCGATATATTGAGTGCCCTATATTGTAATGATTTTACTTGCAAAAATTCTGGCTCTTATAGGTACGGGCTAGTATGTCCTTCTTCTTTTATATGTAGGAAAGATGAAATATTTCTAGGAAGTTTTTTAAATTTACAAAGTTTAAATAAAAAAATGGTGATATTTCGATTGTTTTATAAATCCTGCGTGATTACTATATGTAATGACTCTTTTTAATAAAGATTTTCGAGATGCAATGAATTAAAAAACGGATTCAGTGTTCACATCATACGAACCAGTGAGTGGAACCACTCTACGTCAGCGTCGCTATCGTCCAGCCCTGGAAGGAAAATGGCGTTGCATGTCTTTTTTTTACTCATTCACTTTACACAACACTTTTGAGCAACACGGAATTAACACTAAAATACTGTACGAGCGGTTTTTTTAACTAAGTGAAAACAGAAGAAAAGACTAACCAGGATGCGGGGTGAACTAAAACCACAGATGTGTCGGGTGTGCCTGGAGACCTGTCAGAGGCTGCAGCGCTTGGACGAATCCCGAGAGGAGGGCGAGGAGACGCCAAACGAGATGTTGATCCAGTTACTGGGTGTCTCGTATAGCAAGGTACATATATCGATTGCCTTTGTAATATTTCATTACTTTATGACTCCTACGTTCAGTTAAATGACAAGGAACAGATCCCGGAAGGCATATGCAAGGCCTGCAAAGTGGAGCTGAATATGGCCTACCAGTTTCGTGAAAAGGCTCTACGGCGGCAGGCCGAGATTGAGGATTATTTAAGGGAAATGGGCATAATCGAGGATACCGAAGACATGTTTATTAAAGAAGAAGACGAGATGATGTACATTATTGAAGACACTAGCGAGGGAAAGGAGGATGAATTTTTAGAGGTGGAGTCCGGTGAACAGCAAGAGGTTATTACAGAGAATGGCGACACCATCGAGTTCCTGGATGACAACTACACCATTGAAATGAACTCGGATCAGGGTGAAATAGTCTTGGAGGCCAAAGAAAAGTTCGAAGAGACGCCAACACAACACCAAGTGCTGCAGGAGGCTGCTAGCACTAGTCTTAAGGCCAGACGTGGTCGCGTCCGTCGCGGTCTTAACTCCCTGACCACTTCCGATGGAACTGAAAAGGGCGGGTACATTTGCGATGTGTGCGGAAACTTCTATGAGAAACGCGGTCGCATGATGGAACACCGACGCCGTCACGATCTTGTCTGCCAATATCAGTGCGAGTAAGTAAAACTAGTTAAAACTATTATTGTCGAATAGTTGTTATTATAAATATTACTTTTGCAGACTGTGCGATGCCAAGTTCCAGGTACGAGAACAGCTTCGCAAGCATATGTACTCGCACACAGGCAGCAAGCCATTTAAGTGCAGTTACTGCAGTCGTCAGTTCTTCTATGAGAGTGTGCTCAAATCTCATGAGAAGTAAGTAGTCAGATCTCATACTCAAAGGCAGAGATAAATACATTTTTCCAATTTTCTTTCCCCAGTGTACATCGTGGAATCAAGCCGTACGTCTGCAAGGTGTGCGATAAGGCATTCGCCTACGCTCACTCGCTGACCAAACATGAGCTAATCCATTCAGACATTAAGTTGTACCGTTGTGAGTACTGTCATAAGGACTTCCGTCTTCTGCACCACATGAGGCAGCACGAGGAGACCAGGCTGCATCAGAATGCGGTGATGCTGGCCGAGAGCATGAAGGTGGACATGCAGGGCGAAGAAGACGGTGAGACGCAGAAGATCCGCTTGCAGGCAATCCGCAATTCGCAATCGTAGATTTATCGCTTATCATTTTATACTTTACTGTAAATTGTAATATCCCTTTAGAAATATAACACCTCTTACCACTATAGTTTATAGCGGGCAGTAACATTCTTACGGACTAATAAGCATAACATTAAATAGCTGTAGACTTTTTCGTTCAATAAATGTATGAATAAATAATTCAATATAATGAACAACTATTTTGAGTTTTTATTCTTAAATAACATAAATGTTTTTATATTTAAACTATTGGTTTCTCTGCCTATTACATTTTAAGAATGGTTTGAAACTTTGAAAAAGCTTTTTATATAAAATAAAGCTTTTTTGGATAAGCGTGGAAAGTTCTGTTTTAAGGACTATGATTTCAAAAGTAAATAACTAAAATATTAAACAAAAATGAATATAATAAAAAATAGGTAAGAAAGTTTAAACAAAATATCAGGATTTATTTAATGATTTTAATTTTAATCATTTAAAAACTAAATAATTTCAGAATGTTAAGTGTTCTTAAACATTCTGAAATATGTATATAATATATATATATATGAATATGTATAAATTAATATTCCTTTATTTCATTTATAAAATGACTAAAAAAAAGGTGCTAATTCCGAAAAAAGGCCATCCTGTCAATTGTCCTGGGAGTGAAAATCACAACATTATTGAAGAGCCTGTCAATATTTGAGTTTCTTTATTTTCACAATCAATGCTAAAGGGAATGTGGGTGCGTATGGGAGTTATGTTGAAAATTATGCAATAAATATGGGTTGCTACATGTCCTGGAGAGTAAATAAAATGAAATGCGGGAAAAAAAGGAAACCAATTTGCACCGAACGCATACGAAACACAAGAGAATGTACCATATCAAAGGAAGTTACCAAATTACATGACTTGAATAAGCTTTTTTTTTTCGGGCATTTATTTTTTATTTTTTGTCCGCTGTCTCTTTTATTATATTTTTTACGCTCCCCCGTGTATTTTTACCACTTTAGTGTTAACAACAAAAAAGTTCCTATGGACACAGGAAAGCCTTTCGGGCCCCCCAGGGGGTTTTGTATTTGATTGGTGGTGTTGTTGCTTTTATTTTTTGATTCTTTTTAGAAAAAAAAAATCAGAGGTTAGGGGCAAAACAAATTCAAACAAATTTGCACGCGATTTGACATGTCGAATCCATAAAAGCGCTTCAAACGATTTGATTATGGGTGTGAACATCGGGCCACGGCCCGCCAACTCAATTGCCAAATTGCGAGTCGGCCCTTTTAAACTGATTACGAGCCAGTCCGGGCTATCAATTGCAAATTTATTTCCAAAAAAAACAAAAAAAAATGGTAATACCCTTTTCAGCTCGGCTCACACGGAGCTTACCTTCTAGCCTTGACCTGGCCGTGACTTTGCATTTGGTTGGCGAAAGCCCAACTGCCAGACTTTACTCATCACGAATGCCCCGCCACCTTTTTGTGGCAAACAAATCAGTAAATTTACGAGCTGAATTGCAAATTCTTTCCAGGCATTGGCAAATCTTTGAGAGAGTTTGCATACGAGGCGGGCGGAGTAGGTGGCAAGTGCCGTAGAACTTTCGGTCTACCAGGCCAAGTTTTCAATGACAAGAGCTCAAGTCGTCACAGTGTATATTGGCTAAAAGATACTTAATGAATCCTATAAAAATAATCATAATAAATTAACAAAGTCCTGAAAGAAACTAATATTTTTATAGCTATGAGATTCCAAAATAATTATAAGTTCATATACTGCTTTAGAACCAACAGTAATTAGTATTATTTATTATATATAAGGGTTACTTACTGTAACACCCAATCCAACATCCCAACCCAACATCTCAGGATAGATGACACTGTATGTGGGCATGTCAATGTCAAGTGGTTTTGGAGAAAGTTGAGAAAGCAGCTCAGGAGTGTCGCTATCTGGGTCTTGTTCTATTCAACTGTGGCTGGCTTTCACTCCTCCCATCAACTATTGTGCATAATTCATGTATTTTATTAAAAGAAAATGCAAAACCAACAACAAATTTCCTCATTTCCCCACCACGCCGCCCCTCCTTCACAACTGGGGCGAGTGGTTGTCAAATGGCAGCTGTAAACTAAATGCTTTATATTCATTTATTCCGGAGCATAAACAATGTGAGCATCCACGGCGAACCGGAAGACTTGATGAGCTGCTTGTGCCAGGATCTTGATGTACATATATACAAATAGTTGTATGTCCTTGGAGATGTGTGTGTAAGTTTGCATAATGTTGCGAATACCATGGTTAATGCATGTGCAACAGGATGCTCTTCCATTTGCGGTTGCCTCATCTAAGGAAATTAGTAGCTCATAGTCGAAGCCACCAAGACACCGTAAATTATTTATTTATTTTACTATTTAATAAGATATATAAAAATATTTCTTCAATTTTAGTTTGTAAGAAATGTGTATATTTTCAAAAATAAATCTATTAAAAGGTTTAAAAAAGGTAAGTCTAAATAATAGCTTTATGAATACCTCTTTTTTTGGTTTCCGCCATTAAAGATATTTTATTTGTGTAAAATATTTAGAAAGTGTCAAGTGGAAGACATCCCTATTTTATGGGAGTGCAGAGGGTTAAAGAGGCATATGCTCTGAGGAAGGAAAAGCCATTTAAATGCCGTGAAATCCCCTTCGATGTAGCCCAACGTTCACGCTCCACAGCCATGCAAAAACAAGAGGAGCAATCAAGGGGCGCGGGGCAAGGACATACAAGATAGAACAGAGAGGGGGCGCCCCATAAACCCGGTAAGGCACGCCACCGCCAATCAATAAAACCCGAAACAACTGGCGCTCTGGAGCATCAAATATTTGTAGGTCTCGGCCAAAGTTAAGATGTGGAAAATCCCCTTTCCGAACAGGGAAACACACAAAAAACCAAAACAACCGAACGGGCCAAGCCATTAAAAGTAAACGCTGTGGAAAATGAACGATGTTTTCCTTTAAACGTGGCTTGGCAATGGACGAGATCTGGCCGTAATAAACACAAACAAATGAAATAATTTCGACTGCAAACAAAAGGGCATAAATTTATATATATATACGTTTATGGGTGTATATATTATCCTGGTCCACAGTCCAAGTCCACGGCTGTCCAGGCTTGATTTCCAAATATCTATGTGTACGCGAATCTATGTATAATGTATAAACAGGACAAGGGGCGTGGCAGGAAGATGGGCCTGATAGGATGGCCTTGTCCAGTCCGCTTTGCCAAATTACGCATACGCACAGTTGTGCCGCTTGCGGGAGGCGCCATAATTCATGACACACGGCGTTTTGGGTGCACGATTCACAGGCTACGGACACGGATGCGGATACGGACACACGGCCTCGGCGATGAAGACATCGGCAACGTAAATTGGTTTAAGCTGACGGGCACGGACAGCCCACCCAATCTTCTCCACCCAGCCAGCCATTTAGCTAGCTCCCTGCCTTCAGCTAGTGGCTGCTTCCCAGCTTCCACTGGCATGCCGACTTTGACCTATTGCCCGGCCACACAAAACTTAACCGAGGAGTTGGGTAGTCTACACAGAAAAAAATATCTAGAATATATATAGATATGGTTATATAGAATGGTTATATGGTTATATAGAATATAACCAAAGACAAGAAACAAATGATATTGAAAAATCTACCTTTAGCTTTAATCCTTAGGAATATAAAATACAATGTAGTATCTAGTAAGAGACAGGATAACAGGTTATTTTTTCAAGTGTATGGGTTCTAAGCAACCAAACGGAAGGCAAATAAGGCCCCGGAATGAGCTGTAGCCCGGCCCAAAAGGTTATGCCAAATTACGAGAATTTTTGAGGCTCAGCAATAACAAGCCCATTGGCCCGGCTACCGGGTGGAATTTACTTTCCGTGTCCCTCCATTCTCCTCCCTTCAAGCCAACCTGCTCACTTCCGTTGTTGCCCCCCAACGGTCCTGGTCTTCGCCAGCTCTCCAGATATAAATCATTTAAATTAACAACTTTTGGTTTATTAACAGAATTTATTGGCAGCCGTTTCTGCAGCCTCAGCTTGCCGTCCTGGGGTATTTGTTGTTGCCGTTGAGGTAAACACGTTTCGGGGTGCCCACACCGCCACAAGGTCCTGGCAGGAGCCCCTTCGACCCGAGAGCATCTACCAGGGATATAACGAACGGTTTGCTCGATGATTTGTTATTTGTTAGTGAAATGATAATAGCAACAAATGAGCTTTTATTGTTCCAATGGCCAACGCCACCGCCAACGCCTTAAGGCCGCGTCGTCATTGGCTTTGCGTTTCGATATAAATTCATGAAGGATAAGCCATTCAAAAGGGGATTTGCATAATTTGTTGTCGACTCTTGGAGGCCCCGATTTCCCAATCTCGGCTGCCACTTCTTCTGTTGCGAGCAACAACTGAATACGAGTTGAAGTGAACAATGGGCCCACAATTACAAAAGTTTTACGGGATGACGACCGTCCGACTCACACACTCGAAGAAGAATTTTAAATTTCATTTTTTATGATTTTTATTTCCTTAATATAATATTTACAGGAATATTTACATTGAGACTTTACCGAGTGCTTCCATCGGAATACATTGTGCTGAAAAGACGATCTGTTTAAACTTTAAAGAATTTTCGGAAGAATCGGTTAACGTTGCGAGTCCTTCAGGAAACCACGCTCCATGCTCCACCCAACAGGCTCCACTCTGCAGCTGCTCGCCCACATTAATCAGCCATTAATATTGTGTAAACCAAAACCGTTAACAGCCGGCAGATGCCTTTCGGAAAATATGATTGTTTTGCGAGAATTCTGCCGTCCTGTTGGCTGCCGCCTTTTGAAATTTAATTCTATTCTGAACGCCTGGAATTTTGATTCGGTTTTTGCATTTAAATTTAAATATAAATTGACACGTGCCAGCCTTCGCAAACAATCAGGACACGCTCGCCAGCAAAAAAGGTTCCAAAGCGGGGAAATCGAAACTTCCTTCTGTTGGCAGAAGGAAGAGGTACAACGGTGTGCACGTGTATGAGTGATTATTTTGAACTCATCCATTGGGGGCGGCCAAGGGTCCTGGTGGGTGAAAGAAGCTGGGAGCCACAGCTGGGATTTTCCTCCATATGGCAGGAACTTAAGATTCCAAACTGTTTTAAATTCCTTTTCATGTTTCTTTAGAAATTTTTCTTCTAAAAATATAAGTTTTAATTATAATATTAATAAAATATTTTTGTTCTTTACACCAATCATTATTTACCAGAATCCTTCTTAAATCCTATTAAGGAAATAAGGAAAGCTGTTTGCCTGATTACAATACCGAATGCCGTCGACATTATAAAGATTAATTTCCGCCTGCCACAACTTGGATGAACTTCGCTGAACCCAAGCTCATCGAAAGCGAAATTATTCGTTGACCAACTTAAAGCTCATAATGACAGACAATTTATTTTTTCCTTTTCTATTGGGGTCCTGGCTGCAAATTGGAACAGTGCCACGCCCAGACAAGTCGGCAATCGCCAAACTTGGCCTGGGTGGAGCTGCTGAGATGATGACAATCACTGAATGTTATTGACGACGCCCGCCCGCCAAAAAGTTGAAATCAATGTTGATGATCTTTAGGCCAGCTGAAAGTCGAAACTTTCTCATTGTTATCTATGGGATTGTGGATTGGGGAAGGACCAGGGACGACGACCAGGGACCAGTAACTGGTGACTGGTGGCAGCGGGGAATAGCCGCAAGAGTGTCGCCATTGGAGGCTTCGATGAAAAGGAAAATATAAACAAAATCATTTGTCAAAACATTTCGAAACAGCTCTGCAAACTGCGGACTGTGGTCGAATATCGATGTTTGCTGCCTTCGGCTCACACAAAGGCAGAATGTGAAATAGGAAGCGGAACTGGAAGCGGAAGTAGAAGTGCAAGTTTTCATGGTCCTTACATTGTTGAAAAATGGCTGAAAAGGTTAGGAGTGTATCCCTATAAAAATGAGGTAACTTTATACACTTTTCATCCGATTTTATTAAAAAAATATAGCAATTATTTCAAAAATTGATGAGTTATTTTATTTTGGAATATAATTGTTGTGATATTAAATAAAATCAAGCAGAAAATAATACATTTAAAATTTAAATATTAGTTTGACGTAAGGAATGACAAACAGTCATCCCTCATTCGATTTAATTCTTCAATTAAATGGGAAGGTCCTTTCATCACTAAGACATTTATCTGGAAATATACATACATTATTTATTAAAAAGTACTCCTTCAAACTTAAAAGTTAATAACAAAACGAATAATAGTTAGGAATAATCTACAGTAAAGAAAGATTAAACCAAATGACGATTTTTTTTTACAAATTTCTTTACTTACTGGATTGGATATGATAAAAGATTGAAGTGAATATAGATTCCATTTTTCTTCTTCCAATTCCCTTCTAATTTCGTAATTAATTACCTCAAAACGTCTAAATTGATTTTTTTTATTTTGAAACAACTCATTCAACGCTTTAACTTCGGTAAGCCTTTCCTGCAGTCTGATTTTCTCCTTTCCGTAGAATCCATCTGGCCTGAAATCCTGGTACAATTGGACCAAAAACCTTCGGAACAGGCTTGCAATTTCATCCATTTTGTTAGAGATTTCCTCCCAACCATTCAAAGATCCGCCTACTTTCTCAAAACCCGGAATAAGTACTGTCGCGGTGATGTTTTGAAATATATTGTTTTGAGCATCAGAAGACTGATTGGAACTCATTAAGGGAATAACAATGTCGGCGGTGATGTTGAGCTGATTGCACCACTCGGACATAGAATTATGACCTTCCCGGTACTTTTCACGTGCCAGAGAGCTTAAATTTTGCGCCTGACCAAATCGGTTTTCGAGACTACCTTTATAGAATTCCATAGACTTATTCATAGTGTCGATAAGATCGTGTAACTCCGTGAATTTAATATAAACGATTTTAGGATTTGCTTGACACATTGACAGTATTGAAAGCGCCACAGAAAATATTACAAAAACTGATATTTTGTTCATGATAAGAGGATTTGTTGATAGTGATTCAAAGAAAAATGTTTTGTGGTGGTAAAATAGTTGCGTTATTAACGAAATATAAATCAAGACTGAATTTAAAAATATTTATACTGCTTCGAAAGAAATATGACAGGTTCTTTCTCATAAAGAGTAATTTAATCAGAGTCTATTTTGTGCCTTATCAATGTTCGGTGAATTATTATGGTTATCTCAAAACACTCACTCAAGTTTCTGAAAATACGCGTTTATATATGGAAAAAATCATTTGAGGTACTCCGCTTGAGAATCGGATTTGAATTGGGATTTGAATTGGGGAAGATATAGCCATCGCTGTGGGCCTTATAGAGGAAAACCCCATTTTCAAGGGGCCCATCAGAAAAATGGACAAAAAATCTGAAAAATATTTTTTCTCAGGGTTTTGATGCAGAATGGTGGAGAATCGATCCAGAAATCGTTTAAGGTATTCCGCTTGAGAATCGGATTTGAATTGGGGAAGATATAGCCATCGCTGTGGGCCCTATAGGGGAAAACCCCATTTTTAAGGGAACCCATCAGAAAAATGGACAAAAAATCTGAAAAATATTTTGTCTCAGGGTTTTGATGCAGAATGGTGGAGAATCGATCCAGAAATCGTTTAAGGTATTCCGCTTGAGAATCGGATTTGAATTGGGGAAGATATAGCCATCGCTGTGGGCCCTATAGGGGAAAACCCCATTTTTAAGGGAACCCATCAGAAAAATGGACAAAAAATCTGAAAAATATTTTGTCTCAGGGTTTTGATGCAGAATGGTGGAGAATCGATCCAGAAATCGTTTAAGGTATTCCGCTTGAGAATCGGATTTGAATTGGGGAAGATATAGCCATCGCTGTGGGCCCTATAGAGGAAAACCCCATTTTCAAGGGGCCCATCAGAAAAATGGACAAAAAATATGAAAAATATTTTGTCTCAGGGTTTTGATGCATAATGGTGGAGAATCGATCCAGAAATCGTTTAAGGTATTCCGCTTGAGAATCGGATTTGAATTGGGGAAGATATAGCCATCGCGGTGGGCCCTATAGAGGAAAACCCCATTTTCAAGGGGCCCATCAGAAAAATGGACAAAAAATCTGAAAAATATTTTGTCTCAGGGTTTTGATGCAGAATGGTGGAGAATCGATCCAGAAATCGTTTAAGGTATTCCGCTTGAGAATCGGATTTGAATTGGGGAAGATATAGCCATCGCTGTGGGCCCTATAGAGGAAAACCCCATTTTCAAGGGGCCCATCAAAAAAATGGACAAAAAATCTGAAAAATATTTTGTCTCAGGGTTTTGATGCAGAGCGGTGGAGAATCGATCCAGAAATCGTTTAAGGTATTCCGCTTGAGAATCGGATTTGAATTGGGGAAGATATAGCCATCGCTGTGGGCCCTATAGAGGAAAACCCCATTTTCAAGGGGCCCATCAGAAAAATGGACAAAAAATCTGAAAAATATTTTGTCTCAGGGTTTTGATGCAGAATGGTGGAGAATCGATCCAGAAATCGTTTAAGGTATTCCGCTTGAGAATCGGATTTGAATTGGGGAAGATATAGCCATCGCTGTGGGCCCTATAGAGCAAAACCCCATTTTCAAGGGGCCCATCAGAAAATGGACAAAAAATCTGAAAAATATTTTGTCTCAGGGTTTTGATGCAGAATGGTGGAGAATAGATCCAGAAATCGTTTAAGGTATTCCGCTTGAGAATCGGATTTGAATTGGGGAAGATATAGCCATCGCTGTGGGCCCTATAGAGGAAAACCCCATTTTCAAGGGGCCCACCAGAAAAATGGACAAAAAATATGAAAAATATTTTGTCTCAGGGTTTTGATGCAGAATGGTGGAGAATCGATCCAGAAATCGTTTAAGGTATTCCGCTTGAGAATCGGATTTGAATTGGGGAAGATATAGCCATCGCTGTGGGCCCTATAGAGGAAAACCCCATTTTCAAGGGGCCCATCAGAAAAATGGACAAAAAATCTGAAAAATATTTTGTCTCAGGGTTTTGATGCAGAATGGTAGGGAATCGATCCAGAAATCGTTTAAGGTATACCGCTTAAGAATCGGATTTGAATTGGCGAAGATATAGCCATCGCTGTGGGCCCTATAGAGGAAAACCCCATTTTCAAGAGGCCCATCAGAAAAATGGACAAAAAATCTGAAAAATATTTTGTCTCAGGGTTTTGACGCAGAATGGTGGAATCGATCCAGAAATCGTTTAAGGTATTCCGCTTGAGAATCGGATTTGAATTGGGGAAGATATAGCCATCGCTGTGGGCCCTATAGGGGAAAACCCCATTTTTAAGGGAACCCATCAGAAAAATGAACAAAAAATCTGAAAAATATTTTTCCTCAGGGTCTTGATGCAGAACAGTGAAGAATCGATCCAGAAATCGGTTAAGGTATTCCGCTTGAGAATCGGATTTGAATTGGGGAAGATATAGCCATCACTGTGGGCCCTATAGAGGAAAACCCCATTTTCAAGGGGCCCATCAGAAAAATGGACAAAAAATCTGAAAAATATTTTGTCTCAGGGTTTTGATGCAGAATGGTGGAGAATCGATCCAGAAATCGTTTAAGGTATTCCGCTTGAGAATCGGATTTGAATTGGGGAAGATATAGCCATCGCTGTGGGCCCTATAGAGGAAAACCCCATTTTCAAGGGGCCCATCAGAAAAATGGACAAAAAATATGAAAAATATTTTGTCTCAGGGTTTTGATGCAGAATGGTGGAGAATAGATCCAGAAATCGTTTAAGGTATTCCGCTTGAGAATCGGATTTGAATTGGGGAAGATATAGCCATCGCTGTGGGCCCTATAGAGGAAAACCCCATTTTCAAGGGGCCCACCAGAAAAATGGACAAAAAATATGAAAAATATTTTGTCTCAGGGTTTTGATGCAGAATGGTGGAGAATCGATCCAGAAATCGTTTAAGGTATTCCGCTTGAGAATCGGATTTGAATTGGGGAAGATATAGCCATCGCTGTGGGCCCTATAGAGGAAAACCCCATTTTCAAGGGGCCCATCAGAAAAATGGACAAAATATCTGAAAAATATTTTGTCTCAGGGTTTTGATGCAGAATGGTAGGGAATCGATCCAGAAATCGTTTAAGGTATACCGCTTAAGAATCGGATTTGAATTGGCGAAGATATAGCCATCGCTGTGGGCCCTATAGAGGAAAACCCCATTTTCAAGAGGCCCATCAGAAAAATGGACAAAAAATCTGAAAAATATTTTGTCTCAGGGTTTTGATGCAGAATGGTGGAGAATCGATCCAGAAATCGTTTAAGGTATTCCGCTTGAGAATCGGATTTGAATTGGGGAAGATATAGCCATCGCTGTGGGCCCTATAGAGCAAAACCCCATTTTCAAGGGGCCCATCAGAAAATGGACAAAAAATCTGAAAAATATTTTGTCTCAGGGTTTTGATGCAGAATGGTGGAGAATAGATCCAGAAATCGTTTAAGGTATTCCGCTTGAGAATCGGATTTGAATTGGGGAAGATATAGCCATCGCTGTGGGCCCTATAGAGCAAAACCCCATTTTCAAGGGGCCCATCAGAAAATGGACAAAAAATCTGAAAAATATTTTTTCTCAGGGTTTTGATGCAGAATGGTGGAGAATCGATCCAGAAATCGTTTAAGGTATTCCGCTTGAGAATCGGATTTGAATTGGGGAAGATATAGCCATCGCTGTGGGCCCTATAGGGGAAAACCCCATTTTTAAGGGAACCCATCAGAAAAATGGACAAAAAATCTGAAAAATATTTTGTCTCAGGGTTTTGATGCAGAATGGTGGAGAATCGATCCAGAAATCGTTTAAGGTATTCCGCTTGAGAATCGGATTTGAATTGGGGAAGATATAGCCATCGCTGTGGGCCCTATAGGGGAAAACCCCATTTTTAAGGGAACCCATCAGAAAAATGGACAAAAAATCTGAAAAATATTTTGTCTCAGGGTTTTGATGCAGAATGGTGGAGAATCGATCCAGAAATCGTTTAAGGTATTCCGCTTGAGAATCGGATTTGAATTGGGGAAGATATAGCCATCGCTGTGGGCCCTATAGAGGAAAACCCCATTTTCAAGGGGCCCACCAGAAAAATGGACAAAAAATATGAAAAATATTTTGTCTCAGGGTTTTGATGCAGAATGGTGGAGAATCGATCCAGAAATCGTTTAAGGTATTCCGCTTGAGAATCGGATTTGAATTGGGGAAGATATAGCCATCGCTGTGGGCCCTATAGAGGAAAACCCCATTTTCAAGGGGCCCATCAGAAAAATGGACAAAAAATCTGAAAAATATTTTGTCTCAGGGTTTTGATGCAGAATGGTAGGGAATCGATCCAGAAATCGTTTAAGGTATACCGCTTAAGAATCGGATTTGAATTGGGGAAGATATAGCCATCGCTGTGGGCCTTATAGAGGAAAACCCCATTTTCAAGGGGCCCATCAGAAAAATGGACAAAAAATCTGAAAAATATTTTTTCTCAGGGTTTTGATGCAGAATGGTGGAGAATCGATCCAGAAATCGTTTAAGGTATTCCGCTTGAGAATCGGATTTGAATTGGGGAAGATATAGCCATCGCTGTGGGCCCTATAGGGGAAAACCCCATTTTTAAGGGAACCCATCAGAAAAATGGACAAAAAATCTGAAAAATATTTTGTCTCAGGGTTTTGATGCAGAATGGTGGAGAATCGATCCAGAAATCGTTTAAGGTATTCCGCTTGAGAATCGGATTTGAATTGGGGAAGATATAGCCATCGCTGTGGGCCCTATAGAGGAAAACCCCATTTTCAAGGGGCCCATCAGAAAAATGGACAAAAAATCTGAAAAATATTTTGTCTCAGGGTTTTGATGCAGAATGGTGGAGAATCGATCCAGAAATCGTTTAAGGTATTCCGCTTGAGAATCGGATTTGAATTGGGGAAGATATAGCCATCGCTGTGGGCCCTATAGAGGAAAACCCCATTTTCAAGGGGCCCATCAGAAAAATGGACAAAAAATATGAAAAATATTTTGTCTCAGGGTTTTGATGCAGAATGGTGGAGAATAGATCCAGAAATCGTTTAAGGTATTCCGCTTGAGAATCGGATTTGAATTGGGGAAGATATAGCCATCGCTGTGGGCCCTATAGAGGAAAACCCCATTTTCAAGGGGCCCACCAGAAAAATGGACAAAAAATATGAAAAATATTTTGTCTCAGGGTTTTGATGCAGAATGGTGGAGAATCGATCCAGAAATCGTTTAAGGTATTCCGCTTGAGAATCGGATTTGAATTGGGGAAGATATAGCCATCGCTGTGGGCCCTATAGAGGAAAACCCCATTTTCAAGGGGCCCATCAGAAAAATGGACAAAAAATCTGAAAAATATTTTGTCTCAGGGTTTTGATGCAGAATGGTAGGGAATCGATCCAGAAATCGTTTAAGGTATACCGCTTAAGAATCGGATTTGAATTGGCGAAGATATAGCCATCGCTGTGGGCCCTATAGAGGAAAACCCCATTTTCAAGAGGCCCATCAGAAAAATGGACAAAAAATCTGAAAAATATTTTGTCTCAGGGTTTTGATGCAGAATGGTGGAGAATCGATCCAGAAATCGTTTAAGGTATTCCGCTTGAGAATCGGATTTGAATTGGGGAAGATATAGCCATCGCTGTGGGCCCTATAGAGCAAAACCCCATTTTCAAGGGGCCCATCAGAAAATGGACAAAAAATCTGAAAAATATTTTGTCTCAGGGTTTTGATGCAGAATGGTGGAGAATAGATCCAGAAATCGTTTAAGGTATTCCGCTTGAGAATCGGATTTGAATTGGGGAAGATATAGCCATCGCTGTGGGCCCTATAGAGAAAAACCCCATTTTAAAGGGGCCCATTAGAAAAATGGACAAAAAATCTGAAAAATATTTTGTCTCAGGGTTTTGATGCAGAATGGTGGAGAATCGATCCAGAAATCGTTAAAGGTATTCCGCTTGAGAATCGGATTTGAATTGGGGAAGATATAGCCATCGCTGTGGGCCCTATAGGGGAAAACCCATTTTCAAGGGAACCCATTAGAAAAATGGACAAAAAATCTGAAAAATATTTTGTCTTAGGGTTTTGATGCAGAATGGTGGAGAATCGATCCAGAAATCGTTAAAGGTATTCCGCTTGAGAATCGGATTTGAATTGGGGAAGATATAGCCATCGCTGTGGGCTCTATAGGGGAAAACCCCATTTTTAAGGGACGCCATCAGAAAAATGGACAAAAAATCTGAAAAATATTTTGTCTCAGGGCTTTGATGCAGAATGGTGGAGAATTGATCCAGAAATCGTTTAAGGTATTCCGCTTGAGAATCGGATTTGAATTGGGGAAGATATAGCCATCGCTGTGGGCCCTATAGAGAAAAACCCCATTTTAAAGGGGCCCATTAGAAAAATGGACAAAAAATCTGAAAAATATTTTGTCTCAGGGTTTTGATGCAGAATGGTGGAGAATCGATCCAGAAATCGTTAAAGGTATTCCGCTTGAGAATCGGATTTGAATTGGGGAAGATATAGCCATCGCTGTGGGCCCTATAGGGGAAAACCCCATTTTTAAGGGACGCCATCAGAAAAATGGACAAAAAATCTGAAAAATATTTTGTCTCAGGGTTTTGATGCAGAATGGTGGAGAATCGATCCAGAAATCGTTAAAGGTATTCCGCTTGAGAATCGGATTTGAATTGGGGAAGATATAGCCATCGCTGTGGGCCCTATAGAGGAAAACCCCATTTTCAAGGGGCCCATCAGAAAAATGGACAAAAAATCTGAAAAATATTTTGTCTCAGGGTTTTGATGCAGAATGGTGGAGAATCGATCCAGAAATCGTTTAAGGTATTCCGCTTGAGAATCGGATTTGAATTGGGGAAGATATAGCCATCGCTGTGGGCCCTATAGAGAAAAACCCCATTTTAAAGGGGCCCATTAGAAAAATGGACAAAAAATCTGAAAAATATTTTGTCTCAGGGTTTTGATGCAGAATGGTGGAGAATCGATCCAGAAATCGTTTAAGGTATTCCGCTTGAGAATCGGATTTGAATTGGGGAAGATATAGCCATCGCTGTGGGCCCCATAGAGGAAAACCCCATTTTCAAGGGGCCCATCAGAAAAATGGACAAAAAATCTGAAAAATATTTTGTCTCAGGGTTTTGATGCAGAATGGTGAAGAATCGATCCAGAAATCGTTTAAGGTATTCCGCTTGAGAATCGGATTTGAATTGGGGAAGATATAGCCATCGCTGTGGGCCCCATAGAGGAAAACCCCATTTTCAAGGGGCCCATCAGAAAAATGGACAAAAAATCTGAAAAATATTTTGTCTCAGGGTTTTGATGCAGAATGGTGGAGAATCGATCCAGAAATCGTTTAAGGTATTCCGCTTGAGAATCGGATTTGAATTGGGGAAGATATAGCCATCGCTGTGGGCCCCATAGAGGAAAACCCCATTTTCAAGGGGCCCATCAGAAAAATGGACAAAAAATCTGAAAAATATTTTGTCTCAGGGTTTTGATGCTGAATGGTGGAGAATCGATCCCAAAATCGTTTAAGGTACTCCTCTTGAGAATCGGATGCGAATTGGGGAAGATATAGTCATCACAGTGAGCCCTAGAGGGGAAAACCCCATTTTCAAGGGAACCCATCAGAAAAATGAACAAAAAATCTGAAAAATATTTTTCCTCAGGGTTTTGATGCAGAACAGTGAAGAATCGATCCAGAAATCGGTTAAGGTACACTTCTTGAGAATCGGCTTCGAATTGGGGAAGATATAGCCATCACTCCATAGGGGCTTTAGCTCATCACTCCCAAGTAAAGAGACATTTTCAAAGGCGCCAGAAACTGGGCATCGAGTGCGCATCCGAATGAAAACAAACAAATACCCTTAGCATATTTCCGTTTTATAATTATAATGATAACAATCGCCATGGATTTGCCCTGGCACATAATTAGTGCAATGTAAAAATTAATCAATTTCGTTATAACCCAATTATTGAAATTGCTAGCAACGCAATTAAGCTGCGTTTTCCCCAAAAACGGTCAAATGGCCACATTCATCGACCGCTTGGCGTCCGGGCCACGTTATCCCGACCAATATAATAATAACAAAGGCAAATATGGGATCCGATTTGCACTTGGGTCGAGTGCCATCAGTATGTGTAGTGCTTCCACCCATATATCGATGCATATATACATACGTGTAATGTATATGTTTTTTTCGGTTCTCTGAAATCAAGCGGGTCCGCTGGCACAGACAAATTTGCATTTTGGACGGCAGTAAATAATCCAGAATGGATAAAGTTTTTCATTTGCATTATGAGCCATATATGTACATATAAAGCCAATGCCGACCGAGTAACCGACTTCTCTGGCCCTGAAATCGTGTTAAAGATTAAATGGAATTTTCATACATTCAAATGGTGAGGAATAATTGCGAGAGAAATTTCCTCTTTTGAGAAAATTCTCGTGAATGTGGCAGATTTTGTGGCTCATTAGCAAATAAATATCTAAAATTGTGGCAACAGATTTAAATGCCAAAATAATAAATGGTCGAAGTGATGTCTTTTTCGTATGTAGCTCTGTGGATGTAAAATATATCATACAGCAGCAGATGTTTTAAAAAATCGAACAATCATGGCAGCGAAACAACAATTGTTACAAAAAGAGATGATAAAAAAATAAAATAAAATAGCAACTAAACCATTTGTAAAGGGTTAATTGGGGATATTTGCCAAAAGCTGATACATGAATACATGAAAACATAAATGTTTAGCTACGTCATTTAGTAAAAATAAACAATAAATCAGAAAGTGTACATTTAAAAATAACGAAATTTTAAAATTGATTCTCTGGAAATTAATTGAATTGAAAACAAAGTGCGATGTGCAATTAAATTCATTGACCCCAAGCCAGAAAAGCAAAAAGCATCCCATCCCATGGCATCGCATTTAAATTAAATATGCAAATTTGTGATCCATATAACAATGTGCTATATAACTAAGTTAAATTTATAATTCATTTGTACAGAACATATAACCAAATGTATTTCATATATTCCCGTGTACTCCGTTGCACAGAGTGGGGGTTTTTTTTGGTTATTTATACGCCTGGATGTTGATGCAAACACCACACCGCCACCTATTCCAAATGTTTAGGTATTTAAGGAGATTTTTTGGGAATACATATTTGTCTGTACATACATACATACATACAATAGAGGCCGAAATTCATCAGAGAGTGCAAATACGTATCTAAAATATTCTGGAAGAAATGCAGTCGGCAGCGTAAATTTCACAGTTGACTAAAACGTAAACACGAAAAAGTCGGAAAAACGAAAATCATTTTCTAAATATATACAATGGCACTCGAGAGAGAGGGTCTGTGGAAAATGAAAATTGAAGAGCACCGAGCACTGCATTGGTCATCCGTTTGATTTCAAATATTTTCCGAATTCTATAGGCCGTAGAAAGTGAAAAAACTTAAAGTCCCTTAAGTTGATACACTTTATGAATATTTCTATAAAATCTTATCATGATTTTCAATGATTTAAAGAGGCTTAAACGTGTTCTTTAGAAGGAAAATGTTTGTTAAAACTATATATAAGTATAGAAAAATATAAAACTTGAAATACCCTCTGCTAGAAAAGTGTATGATCGATGTAAAAATAAATTGTGTGTAGGTTTTCCTCGTTCCTCGAACAGCGACAGCTGCACACCGCCGTTGGGCTTTTGGAAAATGGGGAAAGCCACTCGCGAGTGAGTTTTCCACTGGCGGCGGGATCAGTGCGCGAGAGTGCGTCGTCGAGCGAACACGGAACCCAGAAAAGCCCGAGAAGGAGGATCAGCAGAGACAGCCAACGGGAAAACTGTAGCCAAGTGAAAGTGTGAGGAGGAGATATTTATAGAAGGCCACGCCGCAACTACATATATATTTATATATTTATCCGACAAGTAGCAGATACAGACCGTGATATACATACCCGGATAACGAATCCAGGATGACGGACGTGCCGGAGCCAGTGCGCAAGTGCGCCAACCTGTTGAAGGGCACTCGAAGCGATACGGAGAAGTTCGCGGCCCTGTTCATGGTCACCAAATTGGTGAAGGGCAAGGATTGCAATTCTGCCGGCAAGAAGCTGCTGTTCGAGGCCATTGGATTCCCCTTTCTGAAGAAGCTTCTGGTGTCCAAGGACCTGCCAAGCGATTGCCCACCCTTGGTCTACAAGAGCGTGGCCTTGTCGATCCTCACCTGCTTCTGCCAGGAGGAGGAGCTGGCCACCCACAAGGACATCATCGATGCTATTCCCACGCTGCTGGAGATCGTGGAGCAGGCCGACGACGAGGACTATGAGGACAACCTGATCGTGGTTAGCGAGGCCTACAGTTGCCTGAAGAGCATCGCCAGCTATGAGCCCGGTCAGCAGGCCCTCCTTGCCACTGGAGCTATTCCCAAGATGTCCCAGATATACTCCGCTCAGAGCTTCCAGACCGATGAGGCCCTGCATCTGATTGTGCTGTTGGTGAACAAGTTTGGAGTCGCCTCCTGGCCGGAGGACCCCACGGCCTTCCACGCTCTGATCCAGAGGATTGCCCTGGACATGGAAACGGATCACACTGACAGGAAGTACGAACTGTGCCGGATTCTGGCTGATATCCTGATCACCTGCCGCCGCGAGATCGTCATCAACTCGCTGGAGGGCCAAATTTGGCCGGAGAGTCTGTTCAAGGGCTGCGGCGACATCCTGAAGGCCAAGATCGGACCCAAGCAGAGGGACCCCGCTCTGCATCTGATTTCCACCACCCTTCAGGTGCTTGGCATCCAGTGGGCCTTCATGGACGAGCAGAAGCAGTTCTTCCTTCAGCTCCTTCAGCTGGCGGCCATCGAGGTGCGCATGCAGATGGATGAGAAGAAGCTGGAGACCACCTTCAAGCAGGCGGATCTGATGACCAGCTGCTTCCTGATCCTGGAGCAGTGCATCGAGTACATGGCCACGGACCAGCTCGATCTGGAGCCCAAGGAGAAGCAGACAACCTATACGGCCCTGAAGGGAGCCTTTAACCAGGTGATGGCTGTTTTGACCAGGGTGAGCCAGGACAAGATCCGAGACAGCCCCAATCCCCGCGACAAGAACTTTATCATCGCCATTGTGCGAGTGTTGTCGGCTTGGTTGGCCCAGGAGACGACTGCCATGCGACCAGCCATCTACAAGATCCTGCCCTTCATGCTGAAGGTGGCCAACGAGAGCTTCCACGATCTAAAGACCTGGCGAGCTGGCCCCAAGGAGGGTGTTGCGCCCAACGATGTCCTACGGATTATGCTGCCGGCTCTTTGCCACTTTGCCGTGGAGGATGAGGCCAGGCGGGTGCTGTTCACTCACAAGCAGGACGAAGTCCTCCTAGAGTCTCTGGAGCTGTACTTTAGCATTGCCCACTGGAAGAGACCGCCGATCCCCAGGGCTGAGCGCTTGAAGAGAATGAATGAACCGGATCCGGTGCCAACCCCGGAACAGCAGGCCGAAATGAAGGTCGCCCGGGGCGCCATCGTCGCGCTGTGCAACATCCTGATGAACTTCACCGTGTTGGAGCCCAAGCGTGCCGAGGATGGAGCCACTTTTGCCAGCCTGCTGAAGTTTGTGGTAGAGAACCTACCGGAACTGAAGGATACACCCGACAACCTGGTGATTCACGGAAATCTGGCTGTTCTCGGTCTGCTCCTGCTGAAGCAGCAGTCGAAAAAGGTCAAGCAGAACGACTTCTCCATCTGCCGCTACATCCAGGCCACCATCCGGTTCCTCTGGGACGCCTACAACATCGACGAGAGCAACGACCCCACCGCCCTGGTGGTGTCCATTGCCTACAAGGGCTACTGGTCAGATCTCTCGGAACTTTGGTTCCTGGGCATGCAGACCATGTGCGGAGTTCTGCCCCTGGTACCGTGGCTGTCTGAGTTCGCTCTGGAGTCCGGCTGGGCCGAGGGCATTGTCAAGACCCTGAAGAAGGTCAAGATTGGCACCCTGCCGGCCAACGTGAAGTCCGCCTACGAGGATTTCCTGTCCCAATTGGTCGACGTCAACGCCGATGTAGTGGCCGTTCTCAAGAAGGCCGACGCTCTGCGGGTTTGCCGCAACCACAGGATGATGGATCTGGGCAAGAAACTCTTCGGCGACTAAACTGACCAAAGATGACACAAATTAATAAAATACTCTTCCCTGGAGGCATTTTTTGTGTGTGATTTGTAAACAAGCGAAAAATGGAAAATATTTTTTATGGATTTTATTCTATTTTATATGCTCTATTTTAATGATTAAATAACTAAATTTATTAAAAAATAAACACCACCATTTTTAAAAAATATGCACATCCGGACATAAATTTTATTTTCAGCTTTCATCGAAATGTTTTTGCCATTCATTCGGTTTCGTTTTCGTTTGTTCTGCTCAGCTCGGTGGAATTAGTCAAAAATTTAGCTTGTTTTTGTTTTTTCGGTGAGTTTTATTTTCGAACAAAGAACGTACGTTCGGATATATGGTGGGATATACGGAACACGTCATATTTGCTTGTTTGCCGCTTTAACAACTACAATGTTAGCATGAAACAGCGATGACGAGTCAAAAATAATACTAATAATAAGTGAAATTTAATTAAAAACATTGAGGCAAACTTTTTGCCCAGAAACACGGACAGGAAGCGACGAATTAATAATGTGCTGACATGGAGTGACAACTTTTTTGGTTTGCACTCGAGGTGAGAGAAATGCATGCCAAATTTTTGGCCAAACTTTGACGACAACTTATTCATTGTGTTTCTTTTTTCCAGGATATGAGCTGGGGAAACAAACTAAAAAGTACTTTTTCAAATATAATGCAGGTCTTTAGTCGTTGCATGATTTTTGGTGTATTTCGTTTAAAACTTTAAAGTTTGAAACACATTAGAGTCGCTGTAGCAACCCATTTATTTGCAGCTTTTTTACAAAAAAACTTAAGCGAACTGAATTTACTTTTTAGGTATAATTATAATGTTTTGTGCGGAGAAAATTAATTAGAGTTAATTAAAATAGCTTCCCCATTTTACGTTACATGTCCAACAACGTTTTTATACACAATTTTTTGTTTTCAACAGATATAAGGAAAACATGAAACATTTGAGAGTTGATTATCATTTCATATTTAATAGGAAAAAACAATAAGCGGAACTAAATATTCTATGCCTTTAGAAAATTTAGAAATTTAGAAACAAAATATTTTTCTGGGGGACCTCCTTCAAAAATGACGAAAAAACATGGAAGGGCCATATGGGCCACTGGGGAGTCCATATCTTCGATCCGATTTTCAAGCGAGATGTCTCAAACGAATTGTTGATCGATTCTCTATAAATTTTAATCAAAATCTAGGCATAAAATATTTTTTGGCAGAGTGGCAACTGAAGAGGCTACATTTTGTCCGCTTATTTTATTTTATATATCATAATAATATTGATATTAAATGATGGGATATAAATGTGATTATTAAATGGAATCGCTGGTTTGTTGAACTAAGCCTGGCTAATATCTGAGATTCCAAATAGCTTGAAAATGAAACTAGACCAGAATTCGTGGAGCAGCTGCTAACCAAAGCAAAAGACGGGCATAAATCTCCAATAAATCTTAAATACATATTGCGATGCCTGACTTAGGTTTCGCTTCTGGCCCAAGGAATACATATTACGGCAAAAGAATCGCTCAATCGTGCTATCAGCCACTAGAGCCCCCTGAAACCACCCTCTCAACACCTGCCAGCCATTTCTCTTCTATATCTAAGAGTGGGCGATGGGTTTTTATTACGATATAATATTTTATTGTGTACCTTTAGATGTTTTTGGATATTTTGGCTCGCTACATTTGGGCTTCAACCCTTTTTGTGCGCCCACATTTTTTGTAGCCAACAGAATGTGTAAATTTGCCTGAGCCGTTTGTTGTGTTTTGTCACCGGAATTGCTTACTGGGGCCGTATCAAAGGGGAGTGGGGAGAAGGGCCGTTTTGGTGAATGGGTGACCCCGGGAGTGGATTTGGATTTTTGGGCTATTTGTGCATTTGACAAAGGTAATAAAAAGGGCCTTTGGCTTTTGAAGCGTCGCCTGCTTGTTGATTTTGCTTCTCTGTTTGCTCAGCTCAAAGCTATAAAATATATACAAATATATACGAGAAAACAAAAAAATGTATTTTTATTTTATTTTGTTGTTGTTTGTTTACCTCATTTTTTGGCTGAGCAAACATGCGCTGGCATTTTCCGTTCCTGTTTGGGTTTTGTGGGCTTAAATGTGTTTGTTTCTAATTAAAATTAAAAGGTTTTCGTGGCTGACAACTGCCGTGAAATAAATTACAAATGTCAAACCGAAATTCTGCCAAGCAAGTGGCTAAATCTTAAAGCTAGCACAAAAGGTGTAATCAAGGTACAATGCAATTGCTTCTGTCAACCTACCAGACCCGGTCTCAATGATCCATTAATTTTGCCAGTCAACTCGTCAATCAGACGATGAGAACAAAAAAAAAACCGGTAGACAAAGAATTGGTGGTCATGTGGGAGGTTGTTGCAGCAACAAGTTGAAGCTACCTTGATTGCAATTAGTAGGAGTCTCTGACATTGTTGCCACCTTAATGAAATGAAAACAAAGTTGAAAAGGAGACGAGCAGCCGGAGCAGCAGGAGCAGGATAAGCGAAATAAGACGAAATAAGAAATTCGAGCCAAGTCAACATTTCACTGTGGAAAAGCTTTTACTTTCTTTTTAGTTCTACTTATTATATCCCTAATATGGCTTGTTATTTAAATCAAGGATAATTGTCTAAATTCTGCACAGTGTGGTTTTCAGGAACAACTCGTTGACAAGGAATTCCCCACTCCACTTAGCAGACTGCTTAAGTTTTGAGCTTTGCTTTTCTTTGCGGGAATCGGATAAATATACTCGTACTTTGGCAGCTGAGAATGATCATCTGAGGTGTTAATGCGGGAGGGCTTCACAAGCCATTTAACCCGAGAGTCGTCTCAACTTCCAATAACAATATAAGCGATGCCACGAGATTTTGATTGCCATATTCAAGTGCCACTTGTTGGCGTTACCAACCCTCTTGTTAAAGAAATTGCTTTAAGTTAAAAAGGATACGCACAGCTGCACACCCCAAACAAAGTCACAGTCTGAGATACTGTTTTTTGATTCAACCCCAAGCAATAATAATACGAAATAAAGTAAATGCTGTTCACAAATTTCCAATTGGTGCTGTGGGGCGTTGTTGGGGAATGCTCTTAACACTTCCCATATAATCAGCTGGGGAATTTGTTTGGACATGCCACCTCACACCCCCACTTTAATATCTAGCTGAATTTTCGAGAGGCACGAAACGGTCCCAGGACAAATTAAAATTAATGCAGAGCTTGTGGACATCCAGCCGGAGTAGCAGTAGCAGATGTTGCAGTTGAAACTGGGCAAGTCATAAATTATTCACGACACTTGTCAGCTCCAACTGGCAAGTATCAGCCAGAATTCAGTTTGCTCGAGCGCAACATATGCCGCTGAAGTGGACTCAAAACTTAATCCAAAATAGATATCGGATTGTCGGGGATCTGGTTAAAATTTAATCCGAGCCAAATTTAAGCCTTGACCTTGCCAAAAATTGGAAAAAGCGAGAGCAAGTGAAAGCGAAAAGGCACCGCAAGGCATGTCGCACATTTTATAATCCCCATAAATTGTGTTCGTTCCATTGAACTTGGATTATCGCATCCAGGCAGCTCCAGTGGCAGCTTCTTTTCATATTTGTTGGGTAAGCGGGCGGGACGGTGGTTCTTTTATTATTTTGGGTGTTGGTAATTAAATTTGTCATCACGCTCAGATGGCAATTGGTCGTGGGTCAACGGGTCATAAAAAGTGACGCCCAAAAGTAGGCAACGCTTTGGTTCGGGACAGAGCGGAAATGAACTACACCAACGAGCTCGGCGCTCTTCCTGTTTTTGGCCATCTCTTAAATTTCTCTTCGGCTGCGTCTTGTTTCGGGCCGAAAAGCTCTTAACAAAAAAAGCTCATTCAGCATGATAGCTTTCTGGGGTCCTCTTGTTTTACTTTCCTTGCCTGGTGCCGTTAATGATGCGTTAAATTTAAATGGCCATCACAATTAACGATAATTGCTTTTAAAGTTATTGTCTATGATGTTATTTCGAGTTTTGCGTAGAAATTTGAAATATTTCCATAGTTACTAAGGCCATTATGTAAAATGTAATTGCAACCCATCCATTATCCAGCTCATTTTAATGTCTCAATCGAAGTTGGCGAAAAATCCTTGGTTTTGCGGCAAGGAGGTCAGCCTGCGAGTGCACTTGTTGCCTTTTAATAAATAATTTTTATTACAGTTTCACTGAGTTTTCCATGGGGGGCATGGGGAAAGAAGGGGTGGCGGGTTGTGGCCAACAGGTGAAACTAACAAATAATCCGCTACAAAACTGTTGGAGGGCCAACGGGGATTGTATTACCAGGCAATCGGAGTTCGAAACAAATGGAAACGCTTTCTGTTTTCGGTTTTCGGGAGGTTTGGCGTCCTTTGAAAGCATTTATGAAACATTTTCTTCCTCCCTACCCTCCCGACGCCCACCTCAGCTTTGGCGAATTCAATTGAAATTCAATTGCAATTGCCCATGCCCGCCCACGTTGCGTATACGTAACACAATAAATTATCCAAGTACACAGAAAAGAAAAAATAAAATATTCTCCACGTAAGTATCAAATTTTCGGATAGAGGGGCTTGAAGGGGGGGATGTGGCCCTCCAAAGGCAGCGTCAAAGGTTAGTTTGTACCTCAGTCCAATTCAAAATACAATAAATACTACAAGTGGGCGGCTCACATCGTCGGTGGGTTTCCCTCTTTTTTGTTTGTTTGCTAGCTGTGCTCTTCGATATCAACAAGAAATTCAAATAAATGCATTTTAATGCCAACAGCCTTAGCAGGCGAGTGTGGCCGCTTTAAAAGCTTTCAAATGGAATAATTTATTTCCCCCCAGGAGGCGATGGTGCCGTGGGTGTTCGACCAGAATGGGTGCGGCTCCTCCATCGATACTGTAGTACATTGATGTGTTAATTGCCGTAATCCCAAGGAGGCCAAGGAAACTGGCAATCAGATAGGCCAGAGTTGCCAACGGCGCATCGGAAATTGATAAATTAATTTATCCGCTAATGATATTTTGTCAAGTCAACTGGCTGATTATCCGCAAGCAGGCCAATATTGTGATGATGCAATTCCTCTCCACCCAAGTGAATTGACAACCCTGGGGGCAATTTACATTGCCTTGTATGCAGCACCGCCCATAACCCCATCCCCCAATAATTGCTACACATTTTGTGTAAAAGTATTTCGCCTTTCCTATTTTTTTGTTGTCTTCTCTCGCTAGCCTGAAACAATGCATTTTATCTGGGCTCTTACACATTTTATTTTTTACTCTTTTCCATTCAGCTTCGACATAAGAACACAGGCACACATGAACGTAAAAACGCACATGGAAGCAGAAGCTGAGTCGCTTGCATATTAGGGTTACCCTTGCAATCCTTCAAGTCGGGCTTTTTCTATAAATTCAGTTAATAAGAGTGTAATTTAAGCATCAATTATAATATATATATATTTTTCTTAGAGACTATTCTGTATTAAGACTTGTTATCTTAACCTTTTTTTTTTAAATAATGATCTATGCGCCTTAATAGATCTACCTATAATATTTCAATACTAAAAATACGATACGTTCCTTTCAGCTTGGAGGCAATTGATACATAATATCTATAACAAGATAAATGTTTAAGATATTTTAACGATGTGTTTTCTAATAAAAGATGCAATATTATGTGCAAGTATTAAAAATGTAAGGTTCACCCGGGAAGACAACTTATAGCTAGCCTGCATGCCGCTTGCCTTCTACCACCTACCGCCCCGGCAGTATCCGTCCGCCACCTTGGGTTCCGGGCGGAATGCAAGCCAGTATGCACGTCTACTCTAGATACGATACTACAACTAAATACTTAATTTTGCTCTTTGCCGTTGCCTTTGATTCTTTTAATTTTCCATAGCACATTCGCTGGGCCAGACGAAGGGGCGGGTCTTAGGGGCGGACGTTAGGGGCCTAATACAGGCACACAGTCACTGGCGTACACCCACAGCCTAAGTTTTCTGCCAGTACTTACGGCCTACGCACACTCAGGCATACACATAGGGAACAAAAAAAATATGTGGGCGGAGGGCGAAGATGAGGCGAGGCGGCGGACTGACTGGAAGACAGCTGTTTGGAGCAATGGGTTCGATGCGAGTGCAGCGGCTGCAGAATAAGTCGGTCTTTCATCGCCAGCGGACGTTGGTTTTGCGCCTCATCGCCACCCCCGATTGGAAAAATCGCTCATACGCCGCGTGGCGCGATCGCCAGCGATGCGGAAGTGAAATTGTTTTCTGATTGAAATGTAAATAAGCAGAGCCTGCCAAAACAAATATCGTGTTTATCATTGAAAATATGGGAAAGTGCAGGCCGCTGATTGACGCAGGAATTGGTGGCGCGTTGCACATGTGACGTCTCTTTTAGTAAATTGCCATTTGGACCAAAAATGTGAAAATTCTAATTTTCAACTGAAAGTTTAAAGGAGCTGCGCTATGCTGCGATGTTTTCATACAATTTTGGTTTTAGATTACACAAAAATTAACATTTCAAAAGGAAATTGAAATGAAGAGGCGGCGTGTGAATGTTGACAAGGTGCCATTAAGTGCATAGTGGTTCAAAATGTGTCAAAAATTAGTCAAATTTATATCTTATTAGATTAAAAATAAAAAAGTCCCTAAAAATACTTTACTGATTTGTTGGAGAAACATAAGACTTTCAAGGACCAACGAATCCAAACTCCAGCAATGAGTATTTCATTCATTGACTGATCGAATTGTTTAGTCAGATGTTTTAAATAAATTAAACATGCTATTGTGTAAACAAACATTCCGCATTGGTAAAACTCAAACAATTATACAATTAAGACATAAAAAATACACTCTAAACAGACTATAAAGCACCCATTGCTCTCCATCATCTCAGAATGCAATGAAAAGTGTTTTCAAAATGCTTAAATTCTTGTTTGACATATTTTGACACAATGCTCTCCAAGCTAGACAGTTTCAGTGCCTAATGAATGATTTATTGAAATCAGCTTCTTTCTGAAATTCAGAAATTCAAAAATATTTATTTGGCCTAATAGGACTAGTAGTCTTAACGAGTGTGGATTTTATAAATATCATTCCCACGAAGGGGAAGCCCAATGCACTATGGCTCTGTGGCGCTTGGGTGTAGGAGTATTTCCGTTGTATTTTCTCAGTATTTTGCTCAATTTCCATTTGGCCAATGTTAATGTAGAAATCGCAGAACGCCCCCGAAGGGCAGCCAGGTAATATTTATCTCCAGACGGCCCCAATGAGCTCACATTTAATACGTGGTCGGTTGGTCGGTCTGTCGGTCGGAGGTAAACACGCACACGAATCGTATCTGCCGACATGTCTAATAGGAAATTGGCCAGAAGCGGCTAACTATTTGCCCCTTGTTCCTCTGATCTGGTGTAGCGTAATACTAGAACACCCCGGACTTGTATAAAATAAACATAGGAAGGTACAATAAATTGAGGCAAACTTATGTATTTGTGTGTGTGAGAGCACACAACGAACAACAAAAGTACAAGAAAATACAAATATCGAACACAATGGAAACAATAATGTGCGAAACGATTGGAAATGCGCCACAGTCGCTGACGCTGCTGTCTCCACCGACTCAGTCTATATCTCTATATTGCTGGCCCAGTCCGGTCAGCGTCCGCGTCTCGGTCAGAAGCAATCGGCTAATAGCAGCCAATCGATATTTGTTATCGGTATAATCGACAAAGTGTAAGGGTCTTCAAAAACGGAAGTGTGTGACTAAGTGATACAATTTTAAGAAAAAGGATAAAATGATCTTAAGTAAAACTACAAATTATGAATCTTATACTTCAAAGTATCAAAATGTATTGTGGAAATTTATCAAAATAATCGATTATTTACCAAAAATTTTTTTTTCTTTCTAGCTAATAAAAATATCATAAAAGTGTAGCAAGCCTTGTCGAATTCTTGGCCCTTATTACAGCAGGTGACAAGTGTTAAAGTGCAATGTGCTAATTATGTCACACGGGGCGTATGCGTGCTGTTGAAAGGCAATCGCAAGTGAAAGCCAAAACCAAAGCGGAAGACGGAAAGCGGAGGGTGAAAATCGAACAGAAGGTGGTGCCGAAGGAAAAGGTGGTCTAAACGGCCATTCAATACTTGTTGAATTGTTATCTCTTTGTGTGTGCGAGGTGAAAGAAACGGAAAGGAAAAAAAAACAAATGTCAACTGCCAATGCCCTGAATGTGTAAAAAGAAAAATGTGAGGAAAAAAAAAATAGAAAGCAAAAAAACGGCAAAGGAATTCACGAGAAACGGAAAAATGAAGTGTCAACGATTCGAGATGAAATTATCAATTGCCCAAGCTGCTGCTGAAATGTGATTTATCCACCTGCCTCCAGGTTTAGAAGTGAGTGTGAGTGTGTGTGCTTGGTGTGTGCGTGTAGACAACAAAGGGAAATAATGTCATGCATTGGCTCGACGGTATTTCTTTGGATGACAATTTAATTAGCGGACGCGCCAGCGGCAGCAACGGCGACAACAGCGACAGCAATCAGCGGAAATCAACGCAGTCGAGCTCATCGCCCACCAAAGCAAGTAGGTTGCACCTATACCACCGAAGTATGTACAGTGTACACTTAACAACAAAAACAACACAAATACAACCGTATACCCAGCCACAACCGCAGAGCCTTTCCCCAGGTATCTCTCCGGTTGTGTGTCTATGCGTGTGTGTGTATTTGTGTTACCAAAGCTTTAATTCGTTGACGTGAGCTAACCCGAGCGTGTTTATTTGGCTTAGAGCAAGAGGCAGAGTGAAAACTATCTGCATGTAATCCATATCCACAAGGAGTGCCAATGCAAAATTGGTTTAGTTTCAGTTTTTAAAAGCCAATTGGGGCTCTAAACTCGGCAAAAAATTTTATTTTACTAGAATTTCATGATAGCTGTGGGGTATACTTTTTTATTCATCATTTTTATTCCTTATGGGCTTCAAAAAAGTAATAACCATTTACCAATATATTCTACAATGAATTAAAGAACTACATTTTCAATAAAACTGAAAATAAATATGGAAATAAAGTAATTTTTGTCTGTCTCTAAAATGTATCTATATTGCAAAGCTATTTATAATTAAAATTGCACTACGCAAAAATTATATTTCAATTAGGCCATAAAAGGTACTTGAAAATTATTTTAGCCTCCTTCCACTCGCGATTTTCAGCCAAATTTGTCTTCAATATCCACAAACAAAGGCCAAAATGAGCTTTAATCAGGCAGAACTGAAATCTACTGTACACGGTTTTTAATTGGGCAGAAAATAATTTCAATCATGGCCCCCGACTGTGTATTTATCAGCATGCTGCTCATAATTCACTTTCAATTATTAAAAACATATTCATCATTTAGTCAGAGCAATTAGCAAAGATCGAAATCCATAGGAAAAAAACCGTTTGAACATCATTTGTGTTTCCATTTTATGCGGCTGTGGCTCATTGAACTTATTTCTTTTGGGCCTGCCAAATAGCACACGTATTTTGAACAGATTTGTGTGCTAAGTTAACGATTCCCAAGCAAACTTGTGGAAGCCATTAAGTTCGTCTCGCTTCCGTTACCTTGATCGTTCATCGATCATCGGCCAGGCATTGCTTATTGCAGCGATCTGAATTTTCCGGCTAGTATTTATCCCATTTCCGAAATCCCTCAATTGGCACAACCGAATCGTGTGCAATCAATTCAAATTGCTTGACGTATTGATTTTATTTATACAAAAACAAGAAGGCCAATTTTGATTGAAACCAAAATACCAATACCCTTTCCAGAGTTTACAATCCTTTCTGTCTGAACTTTAAGCATGCTTTTACTTTACAATTTCGGAATTTAAGACACCCGATTGAAAAAATCGTATTAATCACAAACAAATCGCAAGTGCTGGCTGCTGAAAACTGGCGGCATATGGTAATTCAATTTTTAATTTATTGTTTACAAATTCTTATACGTTTGCTTTTGTTTCGCTGCGCTGCGCCCCAGTGTTGCACACACGTCCAAACATTACAACTTGTGGCAGGCAGCCGCATGGATAAAAATAGTCGCGACTCTCTCACCTTTTTGGAATGACTGCTGATGACCTAGTAAAGCCGTGTAGCAGTAGAATTTGTCAGCACGAAAATCTTCGGGAATCCAAATCTAAATTAGTTGTGATTCAGACACCTTCAATAAAAATAAATAACAGTGTTGAAATTTACACCTAAAAAAATCAAATTTCCTAAAACGTGGCATTTTCTAGAACAAACTTCCAGGCATTTAATTTTTGTTCGATATGAGAAAATTTCTGTTACATTACTGATTCTAGTTAAATCAAATAAATTGCATTAAATGATCACGCGATCAGCTTTTCTATAGAATATGTAAAACATAAATTTGTTAAACAAATTTGTTTTCTAATGATCACAATTTTTCCTTTACATATTCTTTTTCAAAATTCAATAATATGTATTTATTTATATGATTTCCTGCAAGTCATATATTATGGAAATTTGAATGACCATAAAATTAAATACATAATGTCCCATAAAAAGTAAATCTCTGTCACCCTTTTCCTTACACACCTCCCTGACTATGGGCCACCATCGAATTAGAAAACTCATATGTTGGCCATTAAAAACTTTAACTGCTGCAGCCGCACATCAAAAGTCGTGCCCCCCTTTTGAGTGCCCGGGCATTATGTGTGTTTATGAAATCGTTCATATTCGTTGTTAGCCGAAAGATCCTCTCGTTCGTCTGGCATAAAAAGTGACCCACACAGGCTAAGGCCCACTGCCCCATAATAGAACCATAAACTGCAACAGGCGGCAAAAAATAGACGCAAACTTGTTCATTTTGCTTATTTGTCCGAGAGTTGGGCTGTGCATTTTGTTTACTCACCGCTCGGCCTGTCTCACGCATCATTTCTTTTTCTAGCCGTCTCTTTCTCAGCCTCCATTCTATTTCTCTTCCGTCTCTTTTTTCCGTTCTTATTGGAGTTGTCTAGCCGCTCAGAAAGCCAAAGATATAGAAGAAACAGTGTCTAACTGAAATCTACAGTCGAGAATTTGCAAAATATACTTTTCTTCTAATTTGTTTTGTCTAATTCTTATTCTTCAAAGTACCAAAAATTCCTAATTTAGTTTTTTGAAAAACAAAGTTTTTTAGTACATTAAAATATTTCCATTGAATAACAAAAGTTAAGGTTATTAAGTAATTACTTTGAATAGTTATGTTCACTTGAAATTTTTGAGAGTTCCATCAAAATTCCTACATAGGATATTGTAAACACTGTTATATTGTAGAATTGATATTTGGCATGAGAATGGGTTAATAACCATAATCCTTAATAGAGAGCAAACATTTTTATATCGCTCACTGTTGGTAGACGGTTTAGTGGCTCACGCACATTCCGGCAGTTTATTGGCATGCCGTATGGTTTTGGCCTGTTCAAATGCACTGCCCCTGGGGCCCCGGATTCCCGATGCCCACCGTATACGCCACAGGCACACAACCACACTGACAAACACCCACAAAAGAAACAACAAATAAATTGTGTGTACGCAAAATATTTAACACGAAAACGCAGAATACACAAAATTCAATGCTGAAGCCAAGTGGTTGCAGTTCCCAGTCGCGTGCCTCACGGGCCACAACGTATGCGTATCCGTCCGACAGAGCGCGAAGAAAGTATCTTGTATCTGGCAGTTCGTATCTCATCCGATCTTTGTCATCGCCGATCGTGTCTGTGGGTGTGTTTGTGCTCGTTGATTCCATTAAGAAGCCCAGAAAGTGCACCTGATGATCATTTTTAATTCGAGAATGTGCTTAAGAATTCTGGATAAATTACCATAAATTGAATTGATATTTTTATGTGCGGCTGCTTAATTGTTAATTGTCGGTGGACATAAATCCTGTCCCGAAAGAGCGTTTCACAAAAATTAACGCAAATATTTATGAGTTCTTATTACGATACTGAGTAAGTTTATAAAACAATAATTTTCACCTTTCTCTTGTTTGTTTATTAAATGGAAATTTTTCGGAATATTCCTGTATGGTATTGGGCGATCAATCATAATTCTGTGATTTATCGGTATTAATCGTTTTATTGGCATCAATCGAAATCTTTATAAACTTTGGAAATTTATGGCCTTAAAAATATAGGATATTATGAGTGTAACATACATGTATGCTGAATATATATGTGTATTCCATTATCTTGGGTCCTGTGTGCCAGTTATGTAATCGCCAAGGAAAATCCTTTGCTTTCAAGCTTTTCAATGCTATGCGAGAGAAAAGAAAAAGTCTCCAAGTGCTTGGTTATGGTGACGGGACAGGAGGGAAGGGGTGTGCAGGGGGGCGACATCCCCTCAAGGAGCGAGGCTGAATTGTAACACATGTAAATATTAATGAAGGATGACAATGTGTACTTGACAACTTAATCGATAAATCAATTGCTATACCAGATAATGCTTTACCCCTTTTGAATATATAAAAAAGAATATATATATAATGATATATACATACATATATTTATATGGTTGTATAGGTTTCGTTGTGCTACACTTTTTGTCTGGCCCTTGGTTGTTTTTGTTGTTCTTGGGGATACGGCAAGAAAGGGGGCGGAGTCGTGTGAAGGCAATGTCTGAGGCATTCGGTGCGTGTGTAGCATACATCCAGGCGCTGGGGCATTGTGTAACAACCAAGAGCCCGCAACCCGTCCAGACACTGCCGTCGCCAAAAGCCATAAAGAACGGAATGTCATTGAACATCTAGATATTAAAACCGGAATCAGTATTCCGCACAGCAAGCCTCCAAACCCAACAATTTTTAAGGTGCCACAAAATGTGTTTCAAATTTTAAAAGCACTTCTCCAAAAAAATGTACTTTACACAAAGTACACAAAAAAATGGTCACCACAAGTGGCATCAAGGAAATACATATTTTATCCGTTTCTTTTAAAAAAGGGAATCCTATTTATAGAACACGACTATTTTGGTCGAGAAATGTAGGAATTCTCAGAAAACAATGAATTCCAAACTTAAGGACATAGCCAGTAAAGAAAAAATAATACAGAGAAACAACAGAACTCTTTTTCTTTATTGCGTTACAAAAATGTATTGTTCTTTGAAGCCTGAGAACAGAAGTAATGCCCATAATATTTAATAAACAAAGATATAAAATGAAAAATTCAAGTTCAAGGTAGTAATTTTAAGCCAATATGAGAAGAGTATTTAAATAAAACGTTTTTTTTTATTTATCTTAAAGAATATTTTATAATAACAAAAAGATAGCCACTCCATCCTCACACCATTTAAACACATTTAATATGTGTATGTACATACATACATCATACAGAATTGAAAAGTATGATTTTACAGTTCAATGAATCAAATTATTTGACGAATATATTCAGATGGGAAAAAGGATATGATGACAGTATTAATCAGATATTTTTGTTTCTTTTGTGGATACCATATTTTTTCTGCAGGGATATACCAATTTTTCAATGCGCTTACATACTTTGCTCTAGTCTAAATAAACACGCTCTCAGCTATTTGTAAACAAACAAACCAAAGAAAAAAACAAAACTTAAACAGAAATCCAAAACAAAACCAAAAAAAATTAAGAAAACACACACAAAAACAAAAATTAAATAAGCAAGAAAATAATTTTCCATTTTCATTATTATGATTTTGGTTTGCGTCCACCAATTTTCCCCCTTGTTCCTCTCTGCCCCTTTTATTTTGAATGTTGTTTTGGTTTGGTATCAAAACCAATTTTTTTTTGTTTTACTTTATGTGTATTTTGTTTTTTGTTTGTTGATTTTTCTTTCACATGCGGGAAATCTAATGCACGACTATGCTCCGAGAACGAAGACGTCATGCACACTATAAGCTAAATAGCAGGTAAACTTAACTGATTAATATCTTTATTAGCCATAAGCTCTAGCATTAAGTTTGGGTCCTGCTGGCCGATAAGTAGGCGTTTTCTGGCCAAAAGTGATCGTGGGTATAAGAGAGAAAGCTTTGAGGAGGTGCTTTTCCAACAAACAAATCTCTTATATATTTTTTTAAACTTTAAGAAAATATTAAGCTTTTTGGGATCATCAAAGCTACTTGTTTGTTAAAGCTTTTATATATGTAAACAATAATTATAGTAATTAAAATTAAGTAATATATTTTTTTTAAATATACATCCATCTTATAGTAAGTATTGTATACATATTGTATACAGTATCTTTATAAATTTCACCATTTGGACTAAATTTATTTGGTTCTTAGGAAGCTTCCCTTTAATCTCCTGGTACTTATGCAAATTACCTCAACTATTTTCAAGAAAAACAAGAAAAAATATAAACGGCCAAGATTAAACTGTCCACGTCAAATTTATGTCAAACTAAACAATAGATACCGCGGCGATAAATGACAGCAGTGATTAGCTTTGAAAAAAATTGGCACGAGTTAGCTAAAGTAAAGTATATTTATGATTCTGACGCGCTTAGCTAACCTTTGCTAATTTTCTAATTGGCTGATAAATAAGCGGATTCACACACATTTTTCATAAATGAAAATATTATTTATTAGCCGCCGATGGCCCACCCTGTGAACTTTACATAATAAATACATACCGCCAGAGCGATACTAACGAGCCGAATGAGTGGGGACTTATTTTTAAAATGTTGTGCGTAGAAAAATACATATTTGTCCAAGATTTAATGGGATATACGAATATGTGGGGGCTTGATATAGTTTTATTTAGGCTGCCAATGTCGCGACACATTTCACAAGGATAGAGGACGCTGGCCTGTCAATTTAATTCGTTCGGATCTCAATAAAAGAGCTGTTAATTTAATTGAAAATGTGGTTGTTGTTAATTTACTCTATCAACTGCTGCTTACCGAAGAAATAAATTAATTTCTCCTGTATCCATTTTACATGCATATGTGTACACAAAATGCCCACCAATAAGCCCCAAACCGAATCCAAAATGGAATGCGATTAAAGGCTTGATTAATTTCAATTTATTTCCTATGCTATCAATACCGATTTTGGTACCACAAAAAAGAATATATATCCATCGGAAATTTATTCAAAAAATAAATATGCGAGTAAATAAAGTCAACGTGCTCTACCCGAACAAAAAAAAAAAAAAAATTTTATTGGAATAATTAGATGGATAATTGATTGTGTAAGCACTGGGCTTTATTCAATTATTTTTTGCCTTCTGGACAAATAAGAACCAGTTTAAAATAATTTAAAGTTTTGTTTTATGATTATTCTTGCCATATTATTATAAGTGAATGATAAAAAAGTTGTGGGGGGAATAAGGTGTAGCTGTTCCAGGGACTGTGCCCTTTATTTATTTTATTTTTATTTTTTCACATTTTTCAAAGAAACCAAAACCAAGAAACTGGCCAAGAAATTCGCCAGAAATTGAATGATTTCTCTTTGATATTTATTTTGAAAATAAAACTGAATTAATTGATTTGGAGGGCATCCAAAGTTCGATGTCCTTTTTCAGGTGTTTCCCTTAGCTTTGTGCTCTTTATACCGTCTGGTACGTGGTGCTTTTGTTAATCTTATAAACGAATTCTCGACACAGCATGCGTATATTTCATTGAGAACAATAACTTGTTGTTCTTTCGATTTACTCGCCAGAAATTTGCTTTATGAAACTTTTTGCCATGTTCGTTTTTCATTTTTCTTTTAATTTGAATAAAAATTGATGCAGACAAAGCTTGTTGCTCTTGGCTATGGCAGCGTTCAATGCCAGTCCGTCGGCGTTTGGCGTTTGTTGTTCTAGTCGCTTTATTTTTTGGCCAAAACTGATCTCGCCCAACTGTCAGTTTTCGGTTCATAGTCGACACGTGCGGTTTTGCTGCGGTGAAATTGACTTTTGTTCGCACATTTCTCATATTGTCACGCGGCTGGTTGTTAACAAAAACCTATAATTAATTATTGGAATTGCTGTGAATGGGATTGCTGTAGCATTGAAGATCGGTCCCCATATGATTGCATAAACGCGGAAAACCCCAAGAAAAGTGATACAAGTTTGTTCACACGTGTGTCCACTTTGTGTTGAAATAAATGAAAGGCGCCAAAACAGCTCGAACGCAATATGAACGGAGTCGGAAGAGCAACAAACGCTCCGAAAAGTCCGCAAAGTAAGCGAAAGTAGTTTCAATGTTTTCCCTGGATGTCCCTTGCTTTGCTCATCGACTTCCCTTTTTGGCCGTGAAATGCCAAGTGCACTTTAGTCTTGGTCGCGTTCGGACGCGGACATCTGGCCCTCGATTATTATTAAAAGCCATTAAAATTCTCGTCTAATATCCATACACTTCAGTGGTCGTAAAATAAACAATATTCGCTTATGGCTAGCCGGACTAAAAATAATTTCAGTTTGTTTATCATCGGTTCGTGTACATTGTCCAATTTGATTTTACACTACAAAGTCGTACACAAAACTCGCTAAAAATGTTTACTCATGCGAATTCATGCTTTCTGTGTATTTTTCTTGCCGCCTCGGTGTGAGTGCAGACTTCAATAAAACTGCCATAGTTTGCTTTCCTATCGATCATCAGTTTATCGATTTTATTCTTGGTATATTCATAGGTAAACGTGACGCGAACGAACGATTTTTGTATACATTGGGAAATCAGAAAATAGATTTTCCAAACGAGGGTTGGATTGTTTGGGGAACCAGTGGATCTACAGATTGTGAACTGGAAAAAGAGCAAATTGTTTGGCTTATGGATTTTGAGAAAGCAACTTTGAATGGTATTAAGTTATTTAGTTAATAGTTCCTTTCCGAAAATATTATTCATTTGTTAATTTAACATTTAAGTTCGGTTAGGCGAAAGGTTATTCACAAATATTACTCATACGACCCGTAAGCCGGTAAAAATAGTTTTCAATCTAGTTTATTTTGGTATCTTCGGCTTTAAACATAGTTCCAAGTCCAAGTCCCTTTTTTATTTTTATATACTAAGAGCCACTTTTCTTTTTATTGAATAACAATATAAAACAGATACAAATAAAACAGAATGTACGCGGTGCGTATGCGTGTTATACTCACTTGTGCTTTGCTGACTCTTTTAAATAGAATATTAATATTGTTTGAATAAAAATAAAAAAAGGAAAGAAAATGAAATGCAAAATGGTTAGGTCAGACTAAAATTTTAAATGTTTTTCTGGGTGACGAAAGCTTCTACAGCCTACAAATTTATTATTGCCTAGTTTTTTGGGTAATTGGATGCTGCGATGATTATTAGGGGTGCCTAAAAGAATACCACGTAATTTTACATTTTTCTTCCAGTTTTCTCAAGAGATTTAAATAATATTTATTTATAAAATAAAAATATTCGAACTCTTTTCCAATCAGGCAGAATAAATGACACTTGGCTGACTTAAGCGTGGCATCTGAAAAATTCAAGTACAAAAGACTTTTCCCTCTTGATAAATATGGGGCGACGTTTTCACATTTACGCATTCCACAAATCGAATGGGAGACAGTGCCCCAGACGGAATACGTACGTTGAATAGGAAAAAATGTGTACATAAATATTTGTTTATGCCAACATAGGCGACGGCTCTAAGAGCTGGGGGCTCTCGAGCGATCGGCAGTTTGTCAAAAATTCTCAGCGCGGACAGCAGTGTCACATCGCTCGGCATAAAAAACGTAAGTTATGGAAAATTTGCAAAGAATCCCATATTTATGGATCATTTGGGATTTGAATAGATCTTTTCAAATGGCTAATTTGATTTGGGGGAATCAAGTGCTCAGGGGGAATAAATTGTTGTCGGAAACTGTGGAATACTCTTTTCAAATACTATTGATTGTATTTATTTTCTTAGCAAAATTCTGATAAAATTCCTCTTTACTTTTTACGTTTGGCAACGGCTGGTGATTGGATAAAATAATTTATTTATGTTCCGTTCTTGTAATTTATAGCGCTGCTGTGCTTATTTTCCTCTTCCGAGCCGTTTTTTCTCTAGCACCACCTTCAGGCGTACCAAAAATCAGTGAAATATTTATATTTATTTTTCCTGCGTCGCTGCCTTTTTTTTATTATTATTTATTTATATGCGGCGAGTGTTGAAAGGCCCCTGCCATATAGCCGAAGAGAATGTCTAACAATTGGTTCCAATGCTGGATCTATCCGCTTCAGTTGACTTACAGCATTCGTTGAAGAACGACCCACATTCTTTTGGGGATTTGGATATTTTTGATAAACTAAGTTTGGAAAAAGTTGGGAATGTTGATTGGCTGCCGTTCGCCATGGCAGCCGCTTAGCAGCAGTCGAAGGCAATTCCTTTAATCTTTGTTCAGATGCTTGAAGAACTTCTTAAAACGTCATTATAATTCGTATCGAACTTTTCAGATTGGACAGAAAGTCATCGCGGGGCATGATATACGAGAATGAGGAGCTCAGGCTGCGCACCATCAACATTAATGCAGAAGTCGAACGAGGTAATAACGGATCAAAAGTTGGCCCAGTAATGAGCCATAAAAAGAAATGTTTCTGTTTGATTTTTCAACAAACAGGAAATCAAATAATCGTTAAACAAATTGCGAAAACAACCTGAAAACAGCCAATTAAAAAGACATTAGATGGTGGCTGATAAAAAAAGCCAAAATAATCCAACAAAATATAGCTAACAAAAAATATACTCACCTACTCAGCTTTTTAATATATGTATTCATTTCGCTGCCCACCTATTCTACTATATACGTATATCCGCTGAAGAAATATTCATTAAAAAGTGTTTTCATTGCCAAAACAGAAGATAAGCGAATGTAAACAATGCGATTGGAGGTGTCTAAGGTCTGACAGCTCTGCGTGATGGCCACGTGCTGCCTCTCTTGACTTGGCCAAGAAGTGTTGCCATGGCTCTTATAATTTTCTAATTTTCCAGGCCAATCGGACATCAAGCGCTTGCGACGCGAAAACGAACAGCTTCGTCGGGAGATCTGGACTTTGAGGGACGAATGTGATCGGCTCAACAAGCGCTTTAAGGCGAAACTCAACGAGCATGAGTTTGGAGGCTGCCGGGGGAGCGGAGGCAGTGGCGGCACTTGCCACGCCTATCGCTGTAGCGGCGGGCGGGGTAGTGGAGGTTGTGATGTAAACAGTGATGTAAGTACAGTTCTTATTTTTTTTTTAAAGTTTCTTAATTAATATCCTTTAAGGACTCGGACTCATGTGATACGTGTCGTGGGGCAGACGATGGCCACTGCAGCGACGAGTGCTGTCAAGAAGGCTCCTGTGCGCCTCCCAAGCCACCTCTGCCGCCGGAGGTGCCCTCCCAGGCGTCGCCTTCCAAAAACGAGGCCACCAACAGCAGCCAAGGCAAGGAGTCCCAGCCAATGCACTTTGATCACCTCTCCGTGGTCTCCGAGGAGACGCTCAGCAACCCGGAGCTACTACTGGCTCAGCACCAGGAACACCTGATGATTGCCACCCAGGATCCCAATGGCTCCCAGAGCACTCTGCCCAGCCTAATGGGACCTCTGACTCCGCTGACACCCATCGAGATGGTGGCCAACCAGCTGAGTGATCTCCAGGCGACGGTTCCGCCACTCTCCTACTTTGAGAACATCCTTCAACAGCACATAGGTGGTCGGAATCCAGGTAAGCTCACTAAAAGTAACTAACAGATAGATTTTGCAATTAATTCCTAATACTTTGTAGCTCAAACCCCCTCTCCGGAACTGGGCACCAGCTCGAGCACCACCACCGGCCAAACAATGCGTCACACCAACGGCTGGGACTACAACCTCCAGTCACCGTTCTCGCAGCGCAAATACTCAGCCCACTCATCACCCTCCGGCTCGCCACCGCCCCCACTGCCGCCACCGGGCACCACGATGACCACCTTTGTGCCCACTTCCGCCCACCAGACTATGCCCAAGATCGCCCTGAACGCGGCGCCGCCGCAATTGGCACTGCCAACGGAAATGGGCGACATCGAAACGGTGGCCATCACCACGAACGCCACGCAACAAGCGCTCAACAGTCCCAAGCACTTCTTTGCGCCGATCAAGCCGCGCCTGAAGCTCAATACCAAGCTAGCCAATGAGTCGTCGCCGAGCCAGGGGCACGAACAGGACGACTTGCCGCCAGGATCTCCACCGCCGCCGCTCCGCGACCCTCCGGACATCTTCGTCAATAACGCTCTGGCTTCACCTTATCAGCGCAGAATCTCGCCTCAAGTAAGTCCGCGTCACAGGCGCACCGCCCACTCGCATTGCCACGCCCATCAGGCGTCGCACCACCGCAGCCGCCCCTGCCTAAGGCAACGCCCCCAGCCAGCACACTGCTCCCTTCATCGGGCGGTGGTGGATGTCGCCGCCGCCGTAGGCTTGGGGGAGGTGGGGCCTCATCCAGGTTCAAGTGTCCTGGATATCTATACTGCTGCTCTCGCGGCGGCAGCTGCCGCTCGGTGTTCGCCACTGCCAACGGCCCGATCCGCGGATCCCATCTACGCGACCGCACAAAAGCCCGCCCAGAGCTCGTGCACCTCGGCCACGGCCTTCTCTCAGCCGGTGATGGCCGTCACCACGCACTCCGCAAAAGCCAACAGGCCTAGGTCGGTGGGACAGGCCCAAAGGGTGGCCAAGTCCGAGGAGAACGTTAGTCAGGTGAGGGATCTCTGGCCTTCAGACGATCATCCTCGAATCATAGCCATTTGGAATCAGTCATCCGATTAGATCCGTGTTTCTATGTTTCATGATTTAAGTAATTTTTGTATGTCATTGACTAGAGGTACTTAAGGTGTCATTTTTCCTTTCTTAATCTACATCTCTGAAATTTTTGTAGCTTTTTGATTTCTTTATCTTTTGCTTATTATTACATTATTTGAGGAGCTCATTACCCTCTTTTGTAGAGAATATTCATTTAGTTCCTTTTGATTTCCTTATCAGGTTTTTAATTTTGTCATGGTTTGAATATTTATTATGGTTTTTTTAAACAAATATTTATTTTGATAGAAAATTTAATTAAAAATCGATTTAATCGAAAGAAAAAACTTTTCTAGCTTTACTTTTTCCACCTTTTTCCACTTTTATTTAGTGCCCTAGATTAGTTTAATGTTCAGAAAAAACAGAACTAGAATACAAAATATTATGTGTTATACGATTTTAAGATGGTTTTATAAGTCCATTTCTATGTTTCTCAAACTTTAGATTTGATTAGAGATTAGCTGTCCATAACCCCCTAAAAACGATCGAGTCCTTACGAAATCATAACCATGATCCTCTTACCGTAAAGACTTGCTTTGCTTGCTATATAGCATTAAAAAAATCTTTAAATTAAGATAACGTAACAAAATAACTAATTTTTCTGCAGACGGATTCCGTCAATTTGGAGTCGATCCTCAACGACATCGAGACGATTTCAGAGGACATACTGGCCATTCAGCTAGAGAAGAGCAAGTCGCGGGACAATCTCAGCCAGGATCAGAATAAGGACGATGTCCGGGCGAAGAAGCCCTATCGTTCCGAGATGAACCTGTATTTGCAGTACGATGGCACAAATCCGACCATTTCCCCCGCGACTGCCACCACGGAAGCGGAAATGGAAACAGGAACGGCAGTGGCCACTTCCGCTGATTCCATTAGCAAGCTATTGCGGCGCACCCGTTCCCTGGAGAGAGAGCACACTGACAGTCCTGCCCCGCACATTCCGGATCCCATGGCCCCGTTTCCCGACAAGTGCACATACTTGGGCTTCGAGCAGATCAACCAGGCAGTGGGAGTGCCTCCTCCTTCCCCGAATGGCAACAGGCCACCGATAGCAGCCAAGCCAAACATATCTCAGAAGCCACCGCCTCCCCTGCCGCCAGCCAGGAGACCGACAATGCCCACAGAGCCACCACCCCCGCCACCCACATCCCTCGCCGGACTGACGCCCAACAAGAGCCAGTTGTACAAGACGCTGGCCTCGGCGGCGGCCAAGCGCGCCATTTTCCGCTCCTCGCCATCGCAGATCACCCGATCCCTGGACGTAGACCTCACAGCGTCAGAGGCGTCCGGGGAGGCTGGTGGAGAGCAGGCGGCCTCAGGAGATGTGAGTAAAAAAAACATTTAAAAATATTAAATAATCTATTTTAAATCTGTCAGATGGAGGAGCTCGCCCGACGCAAGGCGCGACGCGTCTCCATTGTGTGTGGAAACCCTGGCCAGCAAGACGAGGTGAACGGCCCAGTGACCACCGCTCACACGGCCACTGCCAGCTGCGTGGACCTGAGCACTGTGCTCCAGCATCCGAATGTCAAGGCTTTCAAGCAGATCAGCCACAGCACTCCCAGCTCGCCACATTCCTCCCGCCGCCGCACCAACAGCAACTCAATGGCTCCCCCTACCGCCGGTGGGCATCCTGAGGTGGGGGCTACGGCTTCAGCGCCACCAAGTACCAGCCACCATCATCACCATCGCAAGGAGAGCAGTGATCCGGTGCCCATGACGGCTACCGTCAGCCGAACTAAATGCTCCCGCAGGCATTCTGAGGGAACGGTGCACAACGTCCACCGGAACAGCTCGGCCAGCGGCGGCGGGGGTGGCCACCACCACCACCACAGTCACCATCATCCGCACAGCGGGCTGGTGATCAGCAGCAATCCGCACCACAGCCACCATTCCCACCAGGATAGTAACCACGAGACGGTCACCTCGCTGTCGGACCGGAACTCCAACAGCTTCGCCTCCTCTCGCGAATCCTCGACGAGCTTCAGTATGCGCTCGAACCGCCGCAAGATCTCTATCAGCTCGCACACGGGCGGCAAGATTCCGTGGTGCGGCTGCTGGGGCAACGGGTGCCTCTAGGAGCTGGAGTAGCTTCATGTGCCGTCCAGAAATCGAGTGCAATATAATTCGCTTAGTTGACATTGAAAGGGAGAGTTTCATTGTTAGAGGATTCTAAAACCAAAAAAATAATACTTTTGGGAATGCAACTAAGTGAAATATATTGTACCCCCTTAACGAATGTACATTCTTAAGATCTTTAAGCCCAAAACCCATTGACATGCTTGTATATGGCTAACTATTAGTTAGAGTAGATTGTTTAAGAACATAAGCTTGCATTTTGTTTTTAGAAACAAAGTACAAAACCAGTTTAAAAAGTTTCAATGGAAGTTAACTAACCCAATTGGCGAGTCAAAATTCAATTCAAAATTTGTATATATTTGAATAGAAATGTTTAAGTTGTAGCATTTAATAATGGTTCCAAAAAAGCATGTAAATTCTATGAATAATCCTATGTAATAATTGTTGCTCAATTCGGAGAGAATATAAATCACAAAACATTATAAAAGGATGGCAGAAAGTTACGGGGGTCTAATTGGGATAAATTAAAAGAAGCGGCTTGAAAGGCAACTTTAAATTTAAAGCTCCATGTCCTGGTAAATGCTCCAAAGTTTTTCGAATGAATTCACTAAAAGTGCTGCTGTGCAAGGAGTGGGTAAAGGACACGGCAGGCGGCAGGCGGCGAGCAGGATGCAACGTCGGTGGCAGCAAATGCAACTGAAATTTCGCAACAAGCGAAAATATACAATATGCAAATTAGCCGCAAATTAAGGTGTAAAAATGCATGACACACAAAACGCCTCTAGGATATATGCAGGAAACAAATTAAATTTTGCTCCATGTACCAGTGCAAATTGCGGTTGCAGTGCAAGGCGTGAAGGTGGTCGTTCGGGTGGTAGTCTAGTAAAAAAAATACAAAACCATGATAGACCCAGAGAGCAGAGGCCACTGCAGTGCGCCACAAAATGTTGCCCAGCCCAAGGCCACACCACAGTTTATTGTACTCTTCATTTTAGCTGCGAAACATCCTCAACCTGGCTTTGGAAGGGAGGACTCTCTATCTCCATCGGTGGCCAGCTGCCAATCGATTGGGCGGCACATCAAATTCGTTTTAGAAATAAAAGTATTTATGGCATCTTGGTTTAATTGATTGGCTGCCAACTTTTCCCAGATTGCCGCCAGTTTTATTTTATTGCATTGTGTTTGTCTTGGCCATTGACTGCTGCCAGATGCAGCCCAGTCCCTATCCTTATCTAAACAAGACATGAAAAATCAATTTGTAATCATTACGAGTTTGTTTATTTGCCAATGAACTGCGACCCATAAACTCGAACACGAAAAGTTAATGATTCAAATTAAAAACTCTTTTTAGTACACCAGCAAATAACTAATAAAAGGATAAAAAAAAGGACATGCCCCGGGTGAGGATCGAACTCACGACCTTAAGATTATGAGACTTACGCGCTGCCTACTGCGCTACCGAGGCCTCAAGTCCTGGAGGAGAAAGGGTTACTAATCGACTCCATATTTAACAGTGTAACTACCCCATTACAATAGCGTCATGATTTCTTATTGTGATTCTGGATAACTTTATTTATTAAATTTTAATTGTGACAGTTATTTGGATAACTACATGTTATTGGAGGCTCTTACCTTAACTAGGATATGATTAATAGCAAGTCAATGTCTTCAACCGTCATCAAAGCCTAATGAACCCTCATAATAGTTACCAATTGTGACTACTAACCTAAGCCTTGTGGCCAGGTTCTCTGATTTAATTTGTGATGGCTTTGACGTTAATGAGCCAACTTTTGTGCCACCTGACGATTAAAAGGGGTAGATTCCTAGGAAGCATTCCGGGCACAGACTGACAGCCAGGTATCCGGGCATAACTCCTATGATTTATACACCGCACATACTTATTTTATGGCAGTTGTTTAGGTTTTGTTGTGGCGCGGCACGACTTGGCGCCTTCAATGAGCTGTGTCTGCACATATTTCTCAATCATGGCGACTTTTCAGACAATCTCAGACATTTATGCATACGTTTCCATCAGGCATACACATATAAAAGTGTTTGGGGTTTTATGACGAATCCTTGTTCTGCTGTGCTGTTGTTATGGGGAAATGTCTACTGCTTTTATTACCATAAATTCTGTGGCTTTTCAGGCAGAACCATCAAACCGCTCCCTCCCCGAATCACGGAGCGTTTCATTGTTAAAGCCGACGAGCTCTGACGTATTAACAATTTGTCAAGCAAAATTTACCAGCAGCAGAATAAAAATCAATGCATGGTAACTAATTACTTGCTGGCTAAGCATGCTTTTTCCCTCCCATCCAGTTACAATTTGCAATTTACCATTCGTTCTGAATTCAAGTCAGTTTCACATACACTGAGAATTTAGGGTTTTATGATATAGGGTTTTATGGATACATTTTGGCAATTAATTTTTAACCTAATTGGTTATAAAGGATCTTACACATTAAACCATTGCTTTCCTATAACATTATTAAGTTTATTAAGTCAATATCGAATTTTTCCATCACTATTAGTGAGTTATATAAGGTCACCGTATTTTATTAATCAAGAATAAGATGGGTTTTTTGTCTACAATTTTATGTAGACTTTAATATTTTATGGAGTAATGTTTTTTTTGGTGCTGCCGCAGATTACTGTTCTGCAGCAGATGTGGCACGCCCCCAGCTGATGTCCTCCGATCCAGATGGCGATGCTTTGTTTGCCCGCATTAACTGAGTGGACATCCCAGCAGCCGCCCATTCAGTGGGCAGATGTCCCGGCTCTGGGGAGCTGTTGCTGCTAAAAATTGCAACTAGCAACTGATGATGTCCCCGGTGACGCCCCCGCCATCCCACAGGACATCAGGACAGGGGACCGAGACCGAGGACATCCCGACAGAAAGTAGCAGACAGAGGAGCAGCAGCTGCTGGTGCAGCAGTTTTTTCTCTTTGAGCCAAACACTCACTTTGATCATTTTTCATTTTCCAAAGCGACACATGAGCTCTTGCACTCCCAAACCATCTTGCATCCTGCACGGATGTCTGATGGCTCTGGATTCCTGGATTCTAGATTCCGGCATATGTGTGTGTACGGGAGTGTATGAGGAATGTGTGTGTTCGCCTAGTGACAGGGCTGGACTTGCGTGATATTTTTATTAAGAAATATATCAAATGCACATAATGCACACATTCCCAGCTGCCATATATAATCCTTGGGAGCGGAGACTTGGGAGCCAGCCAAATGACACTTTATTATTATTTTCATTGTTATACGGTATTCTATTAAATTAAGCCCTAAATGCGATGATTGAGCAGGGCTCATCGTTCAGCCGTCAAAGGAGTTACCGTCACCTCATCGAAAAGCCAGTCAAAATTCGAAATTCGGAACTGGAATTGCAAATTTATTCATACGAGTCGCGGTTCACGTCAAGCGTTAAGTTAAGTGACCTTTCCAATTCCAGGGCTAACAAGCCAGGTTCCTCATTCTCGGCCCATGCTCGCTGTCGTCCCCCTTGAGCCTTTGTTGTTCACTGAATTTGCATAATCGCGTGAAGCTTATTTGTAAAATAAAAACGAAGCGTCGCACACACAAAATGTCAGGAATTACACATAACGTCGAGCACTTCGTGGAAGTCCTGGGTCAATGCGCAGGATTCGTGTGCTAAGCTAGAGGGGTGCACTATGAAAAAAGACTGTTATTCAATATTGTAATAAAAGCAGTCATAGAAAGACAATTTGTTTTTACATTTTACGTTTAGCATCTTTCTAAAATCTTAATATAAGATATTATTGAATAAAACAGTAGTGTAGTATCTGATATTTTGTCAAGTGCACATTGTAGAGCCGTTAAAACGAGGGAGCAGGTTAAGAGCATTGGTGAATAATTTGCATTTAACATGCGCGACATGAAAAGCAAATAAACAATGCTTTCGACTCCTCCCCACCAAGTTGAGTGGTAATTTGTCAGGCTGCTAACTGGTCGCCTGAAAATGCGACCGTTTCCTTCTGGTGATTTGTTGCACTCGTTTTTCATTTGACTAAATGCTGCAAATGATGCGATTTGATATGTAGAATGCGCACGTTTTAAGTCCATCGTCCTTCGTACGGTGTCCAGTGTCCACGCTGCGTATGCTTAATCTGTTCGAGTTCTGGCCGAGCATAACTTTTGTCCGGCTGCTAGTTATGAGTTATGGCCACTGCAGGCGGGACACATAAAAACAAAATTAACATAATTTAGTTGTGAGCAGGACATGCTGGTGTCCTGGCCCACCCCCAGACTTTGGATTTAGCCGACTATCTTTCCGGGCCAAAATAAATTGTAAAACTTTTGCGAAAGAAGAAAATGTATTGTTAAGGCCGCAGCTGAAAGTCAATAAGGCGAGCGTAAAACTTTTCCCATCCAACCGATCATCATCAATTCCTATATATACATTGGAAGTCCACTCTATGCTACAATATGTGATTGGAAGGAGGAATAGAGCATAAATTTGATTAATATTAATGCCGGAGCTGTTGCCCCGTGAATACATACATCCGAAATATACAGAAACAAGGACATGCAATATCAATAAACCCAATGGCAGACTCCTTTTTATGATTTATTGTGTTTGGTCAGAGGACGTGGCCCGAGCAGTTTCACCTTGCCCGCCATCATTCTCGTGCTCCATTAAATCTTTGGCGACACATTCAATGAGCCCCATAACGTGTGCTCTAATACCTTTTTTCCTCCCCCAGTTCCCAGTTGCCATCCAGTCCCCATCCATCCCTAATATCCTTTGTTTATAAATGTTCTAATGGAGGGCAAATTATTATTTTTTCTCTTTTTTTCGGTGTTTGTGCATGTCGAAGCTGCTTCCTTGACGCTGTTCGAGTGATAAATTGATTGGACTACACACGAGGACTCGGTCGAGCCCTTCTCGATGCCAACATTCATAGCGGCGGTCAGGCGTGGTAGGACCCGCTGTCAACCCTTGGTCCTGGTCCAGTGTGCGGCCAATTTACGGTCAGTGTTAGTGGCCAAAGGATAATAGTCGGACACTGCCCTGGGGTCACAGGTCAGCCTGAAATCGTCGTGT